GGATCCCCACGTCAGCTCAGGTACCCATGGTCACTCCGGTGCCACTCACAGGTGGTCTCGGACATGGCACCACCGGCAGCGGACTCACAGGACACGGCACTGCCAACCCCATCGACCGCAACAACGACGGTAGAGTCAACGCTCGTGACCTGACAGGAGGTGGTGCCACCGGCCATTCATCAGCAGGAGGAATTGGTCACTCAACAGCTGGAGGCCTAGGCTCTTCAACGACTGGAGGAGTCGGCCACACTGCCAACCCTGTTGACCGCAACAACGACGGCCGCGTCGATGCCCATGACCTCACCGGCCGTGGCAACACCGGTCACTCAACCACTGGCGGACTCGCTGGTCACTCAACCACTGGCGGACTCGCTGGTCACTCAGCCGCTGGTGGACTTGGTGGTCACTCAGCTGCCGGTGGACTTGGTCACACCGCCAACCCGGCCGACCGTAACAACGATGGCCGTGTCGATGCTCGCGACCTCACAGGCCAGGGTCACTCAACAACCGGAGGTCTAGGTCACTCCACCGGTGGAGCTGGCGGACTTGGTCACACATCAACCGGAGCTGGCCTTGGACACTCATCAACTGGTGCTGGCGGCCTTGGTCACTCTTCAACTGGAGCTGGCCTCGGCCACACTGCCAACCCCATCGACCGCAACAACGACGGCCGTGTCAACGCCCACGACCTCACCGGCTCATCCAACACCGGCCACCACGGCCCTCCCGTCACCGGTGGCTTGGACCACCGCGCTGGCGAATCCGGCGACCTACCCCGCGCCCTCACCGAAGATGTCTCCAGGGCTCAGCCTGCTGGCTTCACCGAGGGCCACACAGGCTTCTCGGACAGCAGGCACACCAGCCACGGCGTCCCTACCCACGGCTCTTCCACCGCCAACACCTCCACATACGGCTCGTCGACCACAGGTACCACAGGGACCACAGGTACCTCAGGTACCACCGCCGGCAAGCCCTCATTGAAGGACAAGCTCAACCCCAAGATCGACGCGGACCGCGACGGCAAGGCGGGCATCATGGACTAAATGCACCATGGCTTGCTACTTAGCAGTCCTACAGTTGGACTAGATGTATTACGACTAGATTATCTGCTTTCTACATAGCAGTTCTACGATTTTAATGACATGATCAACATAGTGTATTCTAATGCAATCACTTTTTTCAAATCAAAGGAAGAAGCCTTTTTCAATCTTGCTTGTTCCGTCCCTTGACTAGTGTTTCTTCGCTCCCACTGCCCTGATCTGTACTCACGACGTGGAAGGAGAAATCTAGCTCGCCGACCAACTTTCTGACGCCTTCTAGCAGCCGTTGCAGGTCCATGTGTATGCAACGCGTACTTATCGCCATGACGGCAAACGCGGCGTAGCCTGGTTCGGCGATGTGGCGTAGGCTGAGGATGTCGTGGTCCACGGCATCAAGTCTCTTACTGAGCTGGAAACCCTCGGGCGCAGTGAGGTAAGGTGGGAGTGGTTGTCCCGATGATATGGAGGAAGATAGTAAGGCGAGTAGGGATGTGATTTCGTGAGATGTGACGTTTGTTGATGTGCTGAGGCGGCGGAAGTCGTTGAACCATTGCGGCGAGACAGTAAAGGGGGATGTGGGTGAGAGCATTGGGTTGGGGTTCGAAGCTGGTGGAGATCCGTCTGAAGGGTAAGGTTTATCGCTGGTTGATGGGTTGAGGGCGGGGTGTGTGAAGGTAGCTGATGCGTAGCCTGTAAGGGCAGTGTAATTTACGATGCTAGAAGCACATGTTAGCGAGGATGGAAGCGAAAGTGAGGGATAGATGCATACTTTGTAACATATCCTACAATCTCTTCGTACTGCTCCATTGGAAATTTACCGCCGAGTGGGAATTCCCACTTAACAAACTGCGCATGCATCTTTAGGCCTTGGAGAGTGAGCATCTGCTTTGCGAAGACCTTGTTGCGCACTTTGTTGAGCGCATAGCCTGGCGATTTCTTGTCGTTCTCTTCGTCGCCGGCATCGCCTCGGATTCTCGACATAACTTGCTCGTGCACGATTGAGTACAAGTTGGCAGATAGATACAGCGATCCGCCCAGCTTTTGACGGAGCGCCGAATGCTCGGTGATGGGGAAAGGGAAGATTGTCCAGAAGAAAGCGACAGCAAGACCTCCAACGACAGTAGCAAGTCGATAAGGACCGAGTTGATAGATCGGATAAGCTGGTTGCCCAGTCGTTGCTGTAGCTGCTTGCACACCGAGCACGCGAACTTGAAGCTCATAGCCGACGATCATAACAGCAGTGACCACACTGATCAACCCTGCAATGACAAGATCGAAGCGCTTCAGAGGGACGTAAAAGCCAATTGCCACAAAGACGAAAACGAATACCAGAATACCAGCAGTGTGTTGTCCAGGTATGTACCACATAAGCCAAGCGAAGACCATGGCAATTGCTGTTCCAACGATCCTCAGCACAAACTGGAACACGCTCTGGCCGGCCGTAGGTGTCATTGAGATGGCGACCATGATCAAAGCCCAGACCAGGCGCTGCTCGACGAAGAAAGTCTGTGTATCTTTCAGGAAAGCAATGATGGCTATGCTCATAGTCGCGCATGCGGCTCTGAAACCGAACGAAGATTCATCAGAGCGCAGAAAATGTGAGATCCCTCGGACGGAGTTTCCAAACTTCTCCCACGCATTTGCAGGCGGCAGATGTTCTGGGTCTTTCTTTTTCTTGTACGCGTCGCCCATGTAGACTGTGGTGTTACTTCCATCGTATCCCGCGATCGTCGTCTCGTCACCCTGGTTTGCATCCTGGTCGCTGAAGATGCTCTTTATCCACTTCTTCAATCGTTTGCCGCCAGGCCACATGATCTTGCTCTTGGCTTTTGTTTGATCATGCTCATCGGCGAACTTGACGAATTCTAGAGTGCTGCGCGCGATCGAGTTCAGGAGGAACATGACGTACAATAGAACGTATAGCTGACTCTGATCGCGCTTTCGGGTGGTGAGGCTAGGCAGTCGCTTCAGTGCCTCATCATCCAGGCCCTCGGAGGTGGAGAAGTAGTCGGAGCGTATGCTGATGCCCTTGCTCTGCATCCAGTGACGCAGTGTTGGTTCTTTCTTGCCAAAGAAGATGCTAGCTTGCTTTTCCAGGTGTGCCGCAAAGCCTTCATCTCCAGGTCTAATAGTATCCCCATGGGCTTCTTCATCCTCCTTCTTGACACCCTTCTTCTTCTTCGGCTGTGGTGCTAGCCCCAGTCTCAGCAGAACGTGTGCGAGCCCGTCATCGAGAGCTTGGAAGATATCAGCGAAAGGTCCATGCAAGTACTTGAACATGTCGTTCCACTCGCGCACAGCTTTCTTGCGTTCTGCTTCGTGCTCCGACCCCTCCTCATCTTCTTCTGCCCAATTACTAAGTTCAGCTCCGCGCTCGAACAAATCCATCACACTGCCGAGACCCAGCACCGGCATCAGGATACCTCTAAGTTTCTTGAAAATAGTCTCGAGATCATCTGGTGTCAACTTTCCATATGCGATTTCGCGCTTCGCAAACGGCAAATCTGCCGTGAGTTTCCCGTGCAACTCCTGGATAGACCCAATCATCTTCTTGATGTTCTGGATTTCTGGCTTCAGTTTGGGCTTTGCATCCTTGTTCTTGTCCTTGGATTCCGGCACATATGTCTTGCCAAACATATCCGAATCCTCCAAGCTGTGGATATAGGTCTTGTGCGCACCCAGCGTGCCTCTTAACAAGCCAATATATCCTGTAACCTCCTTCATGACAACTTTGCGACTCGTCACAGGAATAATGAACAAACTAACTCCAGTCGCCAGCCCAAACCCCGTAAGGAAAGCTTCCAATAACCTCAAAATGAACGTCTCGCACTGCGCCGTCGTGCGGAACAAGAATCCATTCGTTGCCGCTACATTAACTTGAATCGCATAGATGATCGTCGGAAACGCCAGCTGCGGAAACTTCGCCTTGACCGTGTTGATCGCCCAGATCTGGAAGAAAAGCCAGACACCCAGGACAGCGGACTGCGAAGAATTATAGCGCTCAGGCGGTGCGCCGGGTGTGGTCGTGTGTTCGCGGGCTTTGACGCCAGACCAGACCATTAGCATTGCGATTGCTGATCCGATACAGGTACCGAGGACGTTCATAGTCATGGTTTGTATGAACTTTGCGCGAGGCATGATACAGAACCCCAGGATCGATATAATGGCAACCAGGTATCCCAGTGTCGCGTATACTTTTGCTACAGCTGTTGACTGATTCATTGCTAGTGCGATTGTGGGCGGGAGAGCTGCTTTGCACATCATCATCACCGTGGGTGCGTCCAGGCCCAGTTTCGTCCATGTTCTTTTGATGAAGCCGGGTTTCTTCTCTTTCTTGTCCTTCTCTTCTGTGAGTGATGCATCTTGTCGGTATCCATTCGATTGGCCTTGTTCTTCACTTGATCTCTCCTTTCCATTGACTTCCGCCTCATCGCTGTTCAGCCTGTCTCGGGTCGTCGCGGGAGATACCATTGCGACGCGTCCGTAAAGTCTATGCACAAGCGAAGAAGGTAGAAAACGCGGCGAAGGTGATTAGATGAACAAAGGCGTGTTCATGATGGTAATCTCTTCACACCCTTGCTCGACGCTCCGTACGCAAAGCCAACGCCAACGGCGAGACCGTCGCATCGAAGTCCGACCGAAGTCAAACGTCATAGCTTCTAATGCGAAGTCGTGAGTGGCCAAGAATCTGCTAAGAGTGCATCTAAACTTAGTTTCGCGCGCGATGCAAGGATGATCATCAAAGATCCACAGTTTGAACCAGAGTGACTAAGCAGAGAACAGGGGAGTGCAAGGTATAGCATTGCGTGCAAATCTCAATCGCTAAATGCTAGAAATGGTGGGTAAGGCTATATTACAAACATCCAACCTCTATACCACAATCTTCTCAAAGCTGTACTTTGGCACCTTTTTACTGATCAATAGACCCATCTCACGCTTGCTTATCTCGTCTTTCTTTCCTCCTCGGCCAGACTTCATCTTCTCGATACCCATGTCAGGCTTAGCACCAAGGGGTAACATGGGAAGCTCGCCATCGTCTTGCGTGACCGCGAACGGCTTGCCTTGTCTTTCGAGTGATTTGCTGGACGGTTTGTGGCTCTTTGGCAGGTTGGAAGCAAATCGCAGAAACTCGCCTAGAAGACCACGCATGTATCGCGCTTCCCAGAAACCGTTGAGTGCTTCTGATGTGTCGCTTTGCAGGGCTTCGATGATGTCTTCGCTCGACTCGGATTCTGCTGAATTGCCGACAGTCGCAAGCCAAGCACCAGCACCGATAGCATCGAGAGTGCAGCTAAGCAGCGAAGCAATGATAGCTACTGCGTGATCGTCTGGACTCTCATTTAGGGGTGAAGGGTCGGCATCGCTGCCATCATACGACGATGACCAGCCTCCATTCTTCATCTCAAGGTGCAGAAGACTGATCAGGGCCTCAAGATCGTGTCGTGCAAGCATTGAGCGAAGCGTAGTGGTGATTATGCGTGGTGAAAACCCGTGCAATCGGAGCAGAGCTGGGCGAAGGGTGTGGCTGCGAATGAGCAAGCCGTGATCAAGTACCGAGAGCGCATGATCAACTTCGTTAGTCGCCGCGTCAAGCTCGGAAGTAATGTCGACGTCCATTTCCTCTTCTGAAGGAGCGTTGCCGTTAGTCAAAAGCTTCGTCGTATTCTGCGCCTTTGGCTGTTCGTCTAAGCTTTGCATGAGGAGCTTGATAGCTTGGACAACTTCCCCAACAGGCAAATGTCCACTGTAGTTGAGGATGGCAGAGAGTATGTGTAAATCTGGGTCGAAATCGACAAGTGCTTTGACAATGTCTCCATCAACAATGGACGGCGACAGATGCGCATTCTTGGGTGACTCCTCAAGCATTGCGTGGCGGATGGAGGCCACAGAAAGGTGTCCGGTGTGGAGCAGCCACTGGAAGACATTTGGTGGAAAGAACTGAATCCTCAGAATGCTTTGAGCATTTCCGTCGTCCTGAGAGACTATCGTCGATCGGAAGATCTTACTCAATGCATACAAAGCATATCGGCGGTACTGCGATTTGCGGATATCTGGGACGACACTTGATAACTTCCATGTTTTCAAGTCATCGTCTGGGTTGTTCTCTTGGTCGAGATCGATTGCCATGGCATCTTCGTCCGGTATACTGGGACCCATGCCATTCGTAAGAGGCCCTCCATTCACTTCGTTTTCTTCCTTGAATATGAGTATGTTCGACTCAGTCTCGATACCCAAATCTCCTGCGATGGCTTTCTCGAACTTGTTGATTCTTCCCTTTGATGCGTATCGATCCAGTTTTGCCTTTCTTTCACTCCATTTCTGCGCCTCGCGAGCGCTTGTGCAGGAGATTCCTTTGCCAAGTGCCTCCGACAACAAAGTGCCTTCCTGTCTAGGGCGCTTGTGTGTGAAAGAGCCGTCAATTTGCATGCCGATAACCTCACCCTCCCGCACAGCTACCACGAGGTCGTGATCAGCATAGTATGCAAGTAGATTGACTTGACTATTCTGCTCCGTAGTCTCCGCTTGGGCGATCTTTCGCTTCTTAGCTGGACTTGCTGCATCCGACAAGGTCGAGAAGGTATCGAGGGAGTGTACTGCCTGCAGCGTGTTGAACCTGGCATCAAACACGCGGCACGTTTGTCGTGAAGTCATCAGTAGAGTATCTTGTGAGAGGCGCAGAAATGAGTCGATATCAGAACCGGGTAGCGTCAGTTCCGAATACAGTTTTGGTACATTCTCAGAGAAGTCGTATGAGAGTAGAGTCGAGCCCTCAAGCATATGCAGAATGCCGCTAGAAGAGTGGAGTGCGTAGTGGGTCGTAGAAGTAGACGCGTTGGTCCGTTGTTTCAAGTCCCAAGATACGAGAAGTTTGAGAGGTGACATTGGAGCAGTGGTAAGGTCTGGCGACCGTGACTGGACTTGGAGAAGGCTGAGAGTGACTGATCCGCTGGGCTTGCGTGAAACGACACATAGTATCTGTGTGAGCTCCAGAAGATCCGATGCATTGCCATTTGTGGGGGCCAAGAGAGAAGCAACATCTTCCCTATTCCGGAGCAGGCCGCGGATGACTGCCTTCGCTGTGGATGTCGATACATGTGCAATCGTTCCTCCAACCTTGGCTGCTTCTAGTTTGGCAACCCATCGAACGGTCTCGAGATCCGCAGACAAGCAAATGACGTCCCCGTTATCGAAAGTCGCGAGAATGTCATGGGTCGCAGCCGTTGCGGACCCACCAGGCGTAACAGGGAGCGCATCGAGCGCCAGTATTTGAGCACCCGAGGACGGGGCATACCCCGTCTTTGCGGTTTCGGTGCGGTCTCCAGAAGACTTCTCTTGGAAGCAGATCAGCTGCGACTTGTCGGATTGTGCGGAGCCCGTGACCGAGGCATATGTGAAGCGCTGCGAAGATGTCTTGGACGAGCCTTTGCGATAGACTGAGAAGGGAGCAAGTGTGAAGGCAGTGCTTGGCGGCAGAGCGTAGGAAGTTACGAGTTGGGGATTTTGGAGCTGTCGGAATCTCAGTCAGATGTTTTCGCATACTCGCACGCACACATACGCTGTATATCGAGATTCCCTCGCCATTAAGCCCTACGGCAATTTCTGTGCGCTTCCTCTTCTTTATGCCACTGAGACTGCATACGCTCGCTGCATGTATGCGCCCGTTGGTGGAGCAGACGGGTTTTGAAAGCGTCGCCAGGGTGAAAGCCGCGCCAATTTCGTTGAACGACATTTTGTTTGCCAGACCTCGTCGGAGAAGTCTTATTGGGCCTGCGTGGGTCGTTTCCCGGTATGCGCGCGCGTTGTTCGAGGTCGCCGGCCGCTTAGTTGTAGAAAAAAGTTCGGCAGAATGTTGCAGGCGGGCGGTGGAGACACGACCTCTTAGCGCGCTGCCCAGGTGTGGCTGAAGTGTGGCTTGGCTGTGCTAAAACGCAGGCGCGTCAGGTCGCGTCTTCCACTTTCACTGACGTCGCGCTCGTGCAGACACCAACTCTCCGTTCTTCACGACACGCCCTCTCACCCGCCTCTCCCGCTCCGCAATCGTATTCCAGTCTCTCTTGCTTCTATAGTGTCCTCGTGTTTGTTTCAAGATCATGCTCTGGTAGCTGTACGGTCAATGGCTCTTGCTGCGGTGCACACCGCAATGAATCATGAGGGGAGCCAGAGCCTTCACCCTTTCTTCTCCAAACCACAGCGGGGTCCCGCACCGCTTGAGGACCTTTCAATCAATGAGACACCCATGAACGACGTCAACGACGACCCTGATTACGAGCACACAACTACGAATGCCCAGCCGGTAAAGGCAAGGAAGAAGCGAACAAGGAAGACCGATGCTTCGCACACAAAGAACCAGGCATCTTTGGAACAATTCACGCAATCTGTTCAAGTACAACATGTGGATCAAGCTGTGAAAGACGAAGTTGCTGGGCCAACACTCCAAGAAGACCTCAACCTCGATCGAAGGAAGCGGAGAAAAACCGTATCTCCTGCTCCCACGATTCCCAACTTGGACTGGCCCCAGCAAATACAGGAACAAGTTCGTGCGCCAGGTTCTGAAAGCATGCTTATGGCACCAACAGAGCCAGTGGATGAAACCCCGAACACCCTCCTGCGCACCACCTCCCCCGTACCCACCCCAGCAGCCCCCGAAACGATTGCGGCCACTGATGAGCCTCTGGATACCGACACTGTGGCAGAGATTGTGACGCCGAAGAAGCAGATAAAGATCACCAAGAGCGGGAAACTAGTCTCAAGTCCACCGAAGCCTAAAACAGAGCACTCGACAACTCCGAAGAGACGACGGGGACGAAAACCAGCGAAACCAAAGGTCTTATCCACTGTCACCATCATCAAATATGGCACAGATTCCACAAGTCGGCACGCTATCGGCGGAAGGATAGACGCCATCTTGGCTGGCATAACGTCGACTGGGAAGCGCTCCACAACCACTAAGAAAGGGCTCTCCAAGCCGGCCGAGCCTCCTAAGAGCACACACCCTTTCTTCATGGGTAAAGCTACTAAAGGAGTCGAAGACATGCCCACGAAACCTGCCGCGAATTTGCCGCCTCCCACTCCTAGGAAGAGCGCAGTCACGCCTGGCAAACTGAGGGCCGAGGCTCGACGAGACTGTTCACCTCAGCCCATGCCTACCTTTGGAACATCCTCGGGGCCCAAGCGCACTACAAAACAAGCCGGATTGTTCGATGCTGCGTGGCCTACTAGAGAGACTAGTCATGTACGTAATCTTGAAGCTGATATGGTACACCACATGGATCTTGACGTGACTCGAAGTCTTCCGCTTCGTGCACGGAAACTGAAGAATCGCGTGGCCCATACTCAGAGAGGAGGAAGAGATCATGTCAAGATTGGCCAGGGATATCGCCGCGGGCATGAAACCCAACTTCGAAATATCCGATTTCGACTTCAAGCCTCCTGAAGATGTGCGTCTACCCAAGCGTCTGCTCACCACCGGTGTCGAGATACAACGTAGGGTGCATGAGCGCCTGCAGTCACAGGCACATCCAGCTGTTCAATCACTCTTCAAGGATATCGAGCACACCCTTACAGCATTCGACGAGGGGCGGTGCGAGACACAGGCTTGGGCACAGAAGTATAGCCCGAAGTGCGCCTCACACGTCCTGTCTGAGGGTAAAGACGCTTTGGTGCTACGCGATTGGTTACAGAGCCTGACCGTGATGGCTGTTGGAGGCGCGTCAGGCTCCGTCAAAAATGATGGCGTAGACGCTAAGCGGCCGCCTAAGAAGAAGCGAAAGAAGGCGGTGGACGACTTCATTGTTTCGGACGGCGATGAGGAAGACGAAGAAATGATTGAAGTCTCAGACACAGATAACACAGGGCACACAAGATCCTTCCGCCGACCTCGATGGACAAGGAACAATAACGTCATTGTCATTACTGGGCCACATGGATGCGGCAAGAGCGCTACAGTATATGCCGTCGCAAAAGAGCTGGACTTCGAAATCTTCGAGATCAATTCTGGAACTCGCCGTTCCGGGAAGGATATACAGGACAGAGTCGGCGATATGACCGCAAATCATCTCGTAAACCACAAGAGGGCCGAAGCTGCTGTAGCGGAAGATGAGGGCGCGGTGCTAAAAGATGCCGACAACGACACCACACGCATGGATACTGCATGCCAAAAGGACATCGACAGTGGACGTCAAGGCACAATGATGACGTTTTTCAAAGCCAATCCGACTACAAAACCAAAAGCAAAATCCAAGCCGAAGACACAACAAGCACCAGGCGAGTTTCCAACGAGCGCGCGTAAGACTATGCAGCCAGCCCTTCCTGGCGCACCGAAGTCGCAGAAGCAGTCCTTGATTCTCTTTGAAGAAGCTGATATACTCTTCGAGGAAGATCAGCAGTTCTGGGCGCAGGTCACGAAACTCGCCGCGCACTCGAAACGGCCCATCGTTATTACGTGCAACGATGAGAGACAAATTCCATTCCAAGATCTGCCGCTAGCCGCTGTCCTCCGACTTCGCCCACCGCCAGCGGACCTCGCCGTTGATTATATGCTGGTACTTGCAGGCCGGGAAGGCCATATCCTGGATCGACAAGCAGTGCGCCACTTGTTCGAGTCGAAAAATCACGATCTTCGCGGTAGTATCACCGAGCTGAACCTTTGGTGTCAAATGTCTGTTGGTGACAAGAAGGGTGGTCTGGAGTGGATGTATCAGCGCTGGCCGCCAGGCAAAGATATTGATGCTCAGGGTCGATTGCTCAGAGTCGCCAGTGAAGGCACATATCAGTCTGGAATGGGGTGGCTATCTCACAATGTGTTCCAAACTTACAGCAACACTGTCTTTGACAAGGAAGAGGAATTGTTAAACGAAGTTTGGGCTGATTGGGGGGTCGATCCAGATGCATGGGAGGCGTCTTCATCACGTCACTCGAAATCCACACAATGTGATTCTACGAGTAGCTTGGAGCAACTTGACAGTTTCATGGACACGCTAAGTGCTGCAGACGTGTTCAGTCGCGTTGGGCTGCCTTCATATGAGCGTTACTTCGAGGAGCCTGCCGATCCCACTTTACCACCCATATTCGACAAATCGCGTCTGAGTTATACACTCGCTGCGCCACTCCTCCAGGCGGATCATCAGACCGACTTTTTGCAGTTCGATGCCTCGATCTACACGCAGACCCATTTGCTTGCTCGCCGCACCTTCCCAGAGCTGGCACGTCTTGTCTCAGCATCCACCAGTCACAAACCCTCAACAGAAACCGAATATTCGACAGAGATTCTCCGCATTAGAGCCGCGAAAAGCAAGGAATATTTGTTGTCACGCCCTCATTTTTCTTTCGCTTTAGACTGTCTTGCTGCGCCACCGGACCAGACACTGCCCGAGCGCACGTCATTCATTCTTACGCCATCTTCTTTTGACCGCACTTTCCGTATCATAACCCTAGATCTAGCTCCATACGTGCGTAGCATTGTTGCTCATGAGCAGATACTCGAAAGCCAACGCGTGCGCCTGTCTAATCTTCTAAGCGCCGGAGGCAATGGCAAGAGATCGAGAACCACAAGAGCAAGTAGAGTGGCTTTAGAGGGTGGTGTCAGAGAGACAAAGCGACGCGATCGGTGGTTTGACGCCCATGTCAACTTTGAGCTCGTGATGGCTACTGCTGGCAAAGACTGGACTGGCATGGGCTGGCGGAACGAAGAAGAGATGGAAGAGGGATCAGCGAGCATAACCGGCACACAGGAGAGTCTCGCTGGTAGTCAAGATATTGTCATGAATGAAGCAGGAGCAGAGCATGTCATTGCAAGTAACGAGCAAATAGGTGCATTATCGCACAGTATCATAGAGTAGCATATTCTGGCGTTTCTAAGCATATCGGTTGTCATTTAGACGCAGCATCATTCTCAGCATAACTAGAACAGTATTTATAAATAATCTAGCTTCATTTCCACTTTCTCAGACACTGCGTTGTAACATGATTACCTGATTTCACAGGCCAGACTCCGATCCGTCATCGCTGGTGCACACGTACGAGAAGCGTTTCATCACCCTCGACAACGACCCCATCATTCCAAATCACCGGCAGATCCGGCAAGAGCAAGAGCAACAACAATAACAATAACAAATATCAACACGTGATCAGATGAGGGTATGGAGAAACCAAGTTTTCCTTCCATTAGATGTCATACGGACTCGATCAAACTCGCAATATACAAGAGATATTTTGTCCAGAAACACTTTCCATATCCTAATACATGCCCGAGAAAGAACTTTGTTCCTTCGCTTTGATATCCCTGAACAAATGCATGTGAAAAAAAAAACCAAAAGAATATGCGCAAGATAATGATGGGGTACTTAACGAAAAAGAAACGCAAGATCGCAAGATGGGGTTTGTAGTTTGATCATTTCGCCTCTGGTATACATACAAGCACACATGTGTTTCTACAGCCTCACACGCGTCTCCAGAACCTCGCTCGGCACCGTGCTGCGCGTGCTAAACCTGACCTCTGTGCCTGGATGCTGCTTGAAAATCGGCGCCGTGTCGATCGTGTCGTGGCGTGCGTGCTTGACTTCCTTGCTCAGCGTGGACGGGACGCGCGGCATTTCCGGCACGCTGTCTTCGTCGCTGTAGGTGGTGGATTGCGTCATGCGGAACTGCTGCTTGAGCTTCTGCTCCTCGACGCGTGTGGATTGCTGGTTGACCCAGCTGTCGATGGTGCGGAAGCGAGGGACGGACGAGCGCTGGGTCATGAAGCTGTCGCGGCCGGGGCCGGCGATGGCGGTGTCACGAGATGGGTCGTGGGGTGTTTGTGGCGCGTTTGAGTTGGTCCAGCTGAAGCGCGAGGCCATGCCGCCGCCGAGGCCGGGGCGCTGGGATGCGGAGGGCCGGTTGGAGAGGAATTGCCGGAAGGTGGGAGGCGCGGGCACTGCGGATTGTTGGTGTGGCATTGTCTCGTAGTAGTCCAGGGCTTCTTCTTCGTCCCGTAGAGACCGCGTGTTGTGGGTTGATTCACTGCGGCGCATAGATTGAATTGGGAGGACGGGTGACGAGGGTGTGTCGCTGATGTCTCGACGATGTGAGTTTTGCCGTGATGGTGGTGCAGGGTCCAGGATGAAGCTTTGGTTGTTGGCGTTGCTCTTGTTCAGGCCCATTTGGTTGAAGCTGTCGCTGCGTCCCAAGAGCCTGTAGCGGTTTCAGTGTGACCAAGTGATCCAGATCCGACTGTTTGTTGCAGCCCTTCCTGGTGGATAACACATCGTTTCCCAGCATACGTGTAGTTCGTCAAATGATTTTTTTCGTGTCCATACCATACTTCGGAGGCGGAGGTGCGAGGTCAGCACACGCTGTCGAAGCGATGCTTTGCTGTTTTGAATAACGTCCGAGATGGTCAAGCCACGCTTGCGCATGGTGTAGAAAGCCAGTATGATCATAACAATGACAATGGTTGCACCTAGAAAATGTGAGCAATGGTTCAGCTTTGTTAGTAGTTTTGGTCATACCGATTGAGCCAGCAGCGATGAGTAGATGCTCGGTGGTCTGAGAAATTCCTCCCTGACGGTCGGAACTCGGGTCATTCGAGATTGAACCAGGACCTGACAGCAAAGCCGAAGGTGTGGTCTCTGTTGGTGCAGGGCCTTTTCTTGCAGGGGTTTCAATGGGTCTATTGCCGGGCAAGGTCGTCGAGACAGGTTGCTGCTCCAATTAGCTGAGTATGATGTATTGTGTTCCTATGTGATCTTACAGAAGAGACACCAGTTGGAGTAGCGCTGGGTATCGTGAAAGGTCGGCTTGAGGGCATGAGGCTTTCGAGGGCATCCTCAAGATCACTGTCATCGTCCGAATCATCGTCCATCGGTGTGGGTGTGGGTGTGGGAGCTGGCATCTGTCGTTTGGCAAGAGAGCGACGGAACCTGCGACGTACAGTCGGTGTTGGATTTCCAATCTCAATACCGACAGCCTCTCGCTGGCCATCCACGCCGTCTCTTTCAACTACAACATAGTCCACGCGATCCTCTCCCCGTGGTTGCCATGATACAGGCATTGCGTCCAGAATTGGTCGTGTTCGATAACGGTAGGGCGGACCCCTCGCAGTCCTACGGCCTTCCAAGTGCTCCACCAAAATACATCTGCAAGTCGTCCAGCGATATCAAGTTCCTAAGCCCAGTGATGTAAGACGGTCCTAAGCCTGCCAGGACCGTGACCAGTTGTTGAAGTTGTTAAGGAACGTCGATGGTGAACGGAAAGGAAAAAGGATTAGCAACAGCAGCCCGCTGCAGAACGAAAGACAGGAAAGAACGAAAGTCAGCAGGTACGCAGCGAAAAAGGCTCGGCGAACGCTGAAGACGAGACGGGTTCATGCGATTGCGCCGAGGGGTGCATTTGAGATGTCGCATGAATGACGCTAGGGGTGAGTCGCTTCTGGTCCCATGTCGGTTTGAGGTCTCGACAAGGCAAGAGGGAGGCGTGCGGTTACGAGCAATTTAGCACAATTAGGTTCTCTCTGCGCTATCGAAAACCTGTATGCAGTAGATTTATGCGTCTCTACAAGCATAATAAGTCCAGATGCAGTAATAGAGACAGTGTTATGAAGCCCAAGTGGGTTGCCGATCGCGAGAGCTTGTCTGGGAGTTGTCTCAGGGCACCTGGGGCGTTTCAGCGCCCGCTTGGCCTAGCCCCAGGGGAGCCAAAAGCCACAGGGGGACATCGTGAGACTCGTTGTCTCCTCAGCAATAAACTGTTCGGGCCCGACATCAAATTCGAAGGATGGGACTGCCGTACACGCCCAGCGTTCCCCGCATAGCATCTCTTGGACACAAAGAAATTGCGCGGATTACGCCTCGCCACGGATTGAACCGCCTTGATGACGATGCGTAGCGCCACACTTTCGCACGGTAGGGTTCGTCGCTGCGCCTCTGATGGCGCCTCTAGACGCTAAACCCATAAGCCTCTCGGCAATACATCACCGCGGCTTCGGAGTCGTGGATACGCGATGTGAAGATCTGGCCGAGTCGTAGAGGGTGCTAACTATTAGCAAGAAGCACAAGATGTTTCGCACAGCATCTGAGGACGGAACATTTCGTTTCCTGAACGTCCTGAGGCGAGCCCAAAGCCGGGTATCCTGGCGCAGTGCATACTTGATCGGCAGTGCGTACAGCTCACCAGTCGCATGAATGCCTTTTTCACATTCCGTCGACAATTTTTTTTAGAATGCGGCCGTTTTTCGAGCAGAGCAGTTCGCAGCTCGGCAGGGCTGACTATGTTCGGTTTGGGTGCGGACATAACTTGGCCGTTCGTCGTCCTTGGAGGCCGTCGTAGCCGGTGAAGTCCGTGGCAGTACCTTTCTTTGGCTGAGGCTGAGCACAGCTCGACGCGCCGTGATCTGCTGCGCCTTCCAAACGGCGGTGGAGAAGGTCAGTCATCAGGATGATTTTGATGCCGATAGCACCGGTGAAAATCGCGCGTGAATAATATAAGATTCGCTTTCGCCGGTTCGTTGTTCTTGTCATCACCTTACGACTCAACGTTTGCCCTTCAAAGACAACTTACGTCACCCGTGCTTTCCGACTACCCCTCATCAACGTCGCCCCTCAACTTCGGATATCAGACAACGACTGCTTTTTAAACCTGACCTATAACATCAATTACAACACAACTTAATCACAATGTCTGGTCCTTACGATCAGTACAACGGAGGACAGTACGGTGCGCCCCAGTACAACCAGCAGTACCCATCACAGTCACACAGCCCATATCCTCCTCAGCAAGGTGGCTATGACCAGAGCGGTTACCAACAACCCGGTTACCCTCCCCAGCAGTCACAGAGCCCCTACCCGGCCCAGCAGGGTTATGACCAGGGCGGGTACAACCAGCAATATGGCGCACCAGCTCATGGCGGATTCCAGCATGGTCAGCAAGTAGCCCCATATGACCAGCAGCAGCAGCAAGGGTTAGTCATGCAGACGATTTTCGGTCTCTAGAATATAAAACTGACTAGCATATTAGATACTACGGCCAACAGCAACAAGGAGGTTACCCAGGTGCTCAGCCACAGAGCCAGTTCCCTCAGCAAGGCGCATATTCAGCCGATCAGTACCCTCAAGGCCAACACCAAGCTGCTCCATACGGACAGCCTGGAGCTCCAGGCCACGGATCTACGGACCCCAATGCTCAGGCTGAGGGCGACCGAGGCATGATGGGCGCTCTGGGTGGCGGTGCCGCTGGCTACTTCGGTGGCAACAAGATGGGCGGCCACGGCATTATTGGTGCCATAGCAGGCGCGGTTCTTGGATCCAAGCTCGAGGACAAGCACAAGAAGCCTAAGCACAGCAACGGTGGCTGGTAATTCTTCTCGTTGCTCTTTTCTCGGTATGGGTGGGCTTTTGAATTTGCAGAGACAACGGCGTTTAAGGACAATTATGACATGACACGGCTTCCATAGAGCATTGCACTAGTACACCATTACAAATTGATCACAATTCTCATCAAACATCAACTTTGATAATTTTGTTTCGTTATTGCCATGATGTGCACCGATATCTTTCGTCCGTCGGCGCCATCAATTCTACGCGCCACATGTTAACCCTGAGGCACACATTTCGCAATCACACCACACCACACCACACCACAACAATTTCCCTCGCATCCCACCTGCATAAAACAATCCTCCCGAATGCCCGTTCTTCCTCCCTCGATCCTCGATCCTTAGAAACATTTGTAACTCTCCGATTCGTGTTCATTGGCCCCTGTTCTCAAAACAAGTGCCGAAAGGACCTTAAGCGGGACATGAAACACGACACGTTTGGACCTCAATGAAACCAACAACGGCAAAATTAGTGACAATTGTTTCCTGCCCTTTCGCGGCCTCAGTGGCAAGTGCGAAAGATTTGACAATTGATCTGCAGGTACCCGACTCCAGAATCACGTTTGACTAGCACAACTTACCAGCGCCCCGGTGGGAGGTCGCGCGGCATAATGATGGAATCGGATTCATGCCACCGACAGATGTGGCATTGCGGGCCTATCCGCTGAGCTACGCTTTTGCGGGTAAGTTGTGCGAGAGCTGTTTATCTGATGGCGATGGATTCATGGGAGCATGAATGGGGGTCGGCGATACTGTTGGTGGGCGGACTTGGCAAGGCATGAAATACATTGTTCCCAAAAATGCGACGGGCATCAATTTGCTCAAAGACACTGGGGGAATGCTTGTTGGATGGTTTGGACAGAAGTTGAATATTAGGATAAGGTTTGCCCGCTCAGGACGGTGGTTTGGTAGCTGACGGCGGCTTGCGGCTGTGTGTACATAGCACAATGTACTTGACGCAGCTACAGGTGCCCCAAAGCTAGGTGACGTGAGTCTAGCGCTCCTGCCATTGATAGACTTTCTTGGACAGGTTGGCATGTTGTACGTTGAGTATGTATATAGTCATGCCCAGACATCGTGCGCTAACTTCTGCCAGAAACGAAAACGAAACCGACTCGTAGCCTCAGCGTAGCTCACTGATTACGTCTTCGTCGATCGAGTCGCATGGGAATGCGCACTGTAGCTTCCTTTCCTACGTGATGCTTAGTGTCATTCAATACCGAAGATGACGGGTCAAGACTTACCCGCGAACCGACACCAGACACCACATTGTCCCATGCACCAGCAATACATGACGCATTCTCGGAATTCCGGGACTCTTCGCTGGAGAATGCGACGCCGTCGTGCGCGAAAGTCACCTCATCGACATCATCGTAGCCACTGATTGTCAAGTTCGTGTTGTCCAACAGGCCCTCTACAGCGAAGACTTGATGAGCACAGATTCGTGAGTAGCTGTTGCGCTCGGTTGCCGGTCGCAGGGCTGCTATGTCGATGACTATGCCATTGGTGTTGTCTTTAATCTCATTGAGCTGGACATAATTTGTCTTCGCGTCGGTGGTGATGAGTTGCTTATGCCACAGGTTGAACGTGCACTTATTTGCGACGTCTGAGCTCGTTGGCTTCGATGGACTAAGGCGGAACTGCGGCAGGAAGAGAGCCGACGTTGATGTGCTAAATAAGAAGAAAAGTGCAGAGCACAGGACGGCCAGCGCGTTATGCATTTTGAATGTATGTAGAGTTGAAACGGTGTTTGGGAAACAAGCAAGACAAATGAACGAGCAAAGTATAGAATTGTTTGGATTCGGCCTGCGGTAGTGTACCACTGTACACAGAGGTATCTTTCACACTTAAGACTTTGCAGCCTTGCTGTGCCGTACAAGCACTAAGCGCTGAGCAGATGTTGGGAAGTTGCTATTTCGCGATGACGACCCAGCGTACCGGTCAATCCTGCGGGGGTGCGGCGCGTCTGCGTCGGTTAAAGTGGGCATGCGGCGGCTACACCAACACTCTTGCATGACATTCGCTGAGAGATGGCGATCCATGCCTGTGAACGCGGCGCGGCGACCGAGCGGTGTTGGTTCGGGCGGGTGGGAAATGTGCAGGATGGGGCGTGGTTTCTTTGCGAAAGGTTTGCTTTGCGCGGCACGGCAACAAGGCATTGCCCAGGTAGACTGCGCCGCCCACTTCGTACATCGTAATATCAACAATTCACAGTTCATAAATGAATGCATTACGATGCATCATGGCAGTACAGCTGATATTCCATGCCATGTTCTTCATTTCCTTACAGATGGCCTGTCGCTGAGTACATATCGTGTTCGCGCTCGGAACGAACACCAAACCGGCGAACAACAGCATCTCCTCTTAGCTCTGAGTTTTCCTCATGTCTGTAGCGTCAGCTCCCTCTGAAGCTCTCTTTCCGACTTTCTGGTGTAGGCCAACTTGTGATCGAACAGCAGCCTTCCCTTGATACTGCCAAAGTACCATTCATTATGAACAGTACTACGCGTCTTAGTGACAGTCTCAGAGAACTCATGCCTCAATGATGCTGCAATGCCCGGTTTGAATTGCTCGAGGCACTCCGTTTCAAGAATTTGGTGTGTATAGTGTGATTCGAATTCCCAGTGATACAGGTCGACTTCGAGCATTTGCAAAACCTTGCAAGCGTTGACGAGGGCGGTCAGTGTGGACGGAAAAGGAATCTCGAAAGTGATGGGCTCAGTCGTGGCGCGATGGACAAGAATTTTGGGAAGCCAAGGGTAATTTTGAGTGCTCGGAGTCGTTGGGCTTCTTCAAGTGGCTGGACAAGCTTGCAAAGCCATATTTGCTTCGTTTTGGGTAAGATTCCAGGCGATCATGTTTGCCTATAGGGATATCAGGTAGCGGCAAAATTCGGGTCCGCTTGCACCTACACGACATGATCTAATAGTCTTCAGGCACGCACTTGTAGGTTTATAAAGAAGCCTAAATACATTTGATGCTATAAGACATCCTGCCTAGTTTTGCAGAAGTTTTTGAAGAAGACTTAGCTACCTCTTGACATTACTCATTGGGTGAAGGCAGACAAGAATTATGCCGGCATCTGGTAGGGGTAAGTTGCATTTGGCTATCTACTTTTCGCTACTCTACAGCATTTCACCGTAGCTTTGGTGTCCAGATCACATAAACCTCCCAACAGATCATGGTTTGCAACCACTCACTTACTCCCTCCCTCATGAACTTTTGAGGTCTCTCTCTTATAGATCAGCGCGTGATCAAGTAGCTGCCTGTCCCCGAATCTGTGCTTGAATCCATCTCTATTGAAGAGAGGATTTGCTGTGCTTGTTACTGACTCGGATACACTGCTCCTCATTATGGATTTGATTGCAGGGCGAATGCTGTCCATAAATTCGTTGTCCAGGATCTCATCGGACCATGTGGATTTATTATACTAAAATACCTCCACTTCAAGTCTATTCAGGGAAGCACAGGTGCGGGTCAATGCGCCGTATGGCCGTGGCAACTTCATATGAAGCCTGAACGAATCGTCTTTCTTCATGATCTTGCTTCTGAGAGAGAAATTGAGATAAGGGCAGCCGGTGGTAATTCTGAGCGATTCGGTTTTCGACAAGTCTCCAAGTGCTTCGATAACTTGGATGAGCAATCTGTAGTCCTTTGGACACAATATGAACCTAACAACGCCGTCGTGCCTGAACCAGGTCTGGAAGCGATCTGCTCCTTGATTTTCTATCAGTATGCGCGTGATGCATATCTTTCTCGCATATCTTGGGTTGATGAGTGTGTCGCCTGGCTTCCTATCTGCATGTTTTGACGGGTTGGAGTACTCAATGTACCGGGGTTCCAGGCGCCAAAGATTCCAACCCGCCTTCAGCCGAAACTGCCCCAATCCTTCTGCCAAGATCTATTTATTCACAAGGCGCTATTGTGGTAGTCCAGAATGGGAACTATGCGCCAATTCTTGTCATCCTCTGTAAGTATGGCTTATTCAGAGTGGAGGTCGCTTTCATCAAGAACCATACCATCATAGTATGCCAATACTCCTGATTTTGAAGGTGTGTGATAGGCAGCGACACAATTATTTGAATTCCACAGAGCATTATATACCACGTTTCGAAGTTCGCGGGGCAAACCGAGGAAGTCAAGTTCTGGTCGTATGGAGACTAATACTGGAGTTGAGTATGGCAAACAACATTGAAGCATGAGAAATCAAGAGAGTTTTAGAACTTGCATGATGTTCAAAGATCTACAAAGAAATGAAAAGCCATATCCATTGAAGTTAAAAAAAGTGCTGCCTGTCGCTGTAGTATCTCCATCAAGGATGAGCACATTCAGCGATTTCCAAACTGCCACGTATTTCTCTTCCCAAACCAATCGCCCAAGGCATCCTTATCCAGTTTCTTTGAACAGTCTCCGCATCTCACTATCCCACTTTGGTTTCCACAGCAGCATGTATCCTCATCCTCCTCTTTCTCACTCATCATTCGCTCCTCCAACCACCGTGCCAACTCCTTGTTTGCGCTACCTCCCACTCTTGCAACCTTTACGCCCCTGACGCCGATGAAGAGCTTCAGCACAGAGGAGTCAGCTCCATCAAACATGGACTGCCAGACACGGATGTCCAGGAACTCGGCGCCGGAGAATGCCGCTGTAGCTTGTTCTGTTGTGAAGCGAGGATCCGTGTCCAAGCGGATCGTAAGATGCCAACGCTTGATCTTGGACAATACGGTTGGGTACAAGACGGGCGAAGCTGAGGTGATAAGGTGCGGCAACGACGTCAAGAGCGACGGATGGGCGCAGAAGACGTGCGTCGTGTACAAGAGGTCGACTGCTTCATCGTGTACTTTGCGGCAGGTCGAGATTATTTCCGGGTAAAGTGCTCCAACCTCGTGCTCGTGTCGGTAGCCGTATTCGGCGAGATGCTTCTTGCTGACGGTATTCTTGCACAGTAATTCTTTATAGATTTGAAGACGGAGCTCGGTGGGTAAGCGGAAAAATATGGATTCCTCTTGCTCGTCCACGGTGTTTCTGGGTTTGGTGCTTATAGCACGGTCTTGTTGCTGAGGTTTGGCGGGCGACATGGGGAGATTTGATGCGTTCGACGGGATGCCGAACGGGTTTTGAGACGTGTACAGGGACTGAGGTGTCTGATTGAGAGGAGTGTTGAAGTGTGCGGCGTAGTAGTAGGCGGCCATGTTGGAGAGATTTGAACTCTATCCTAGTGTGAAGTTCCGAGCGCTGACGTTTGTCGATGATCGCGATACGAATGTGTAAATGAAGTTTTCAATAGGTCGTATAATTTCTTTGGTGAATTTTGTGGTCCTCGAACTTTCGTGTTGTCTGATGTGCGTGTATGTGTGTTGTGACTGGATCGGGTAATGCACTTCGTTATCGGATGATAGAAGTGTCAATGGCTGTTGTGTTGGGTTGCTGATGCTTGGAACGAACAGAGCCTCAACTTTGATACCTTTATATGCCCACTATCAATCTGTTGAGCTCAAGCACGTTACTGTCGAGACGAAAAAGGACATGTAACCAGATCACGTTGTTGCGGTGCGTCAGCGGTCTAGTCGGACCGATGATCGTCGATCTCCTGATAAGGTAACGGAACGTGAAGGTAACGCCACATTTCTTAGCGCATCACCCCACCTCTTCTGAGATGCCAACTTCGATGAGTTCAAACTTCAATAATATCTTACGAGTCCCAAAAAACAATTCATATTCCAATCCACTGGACTACATTCTTCGAATTTCGAGTGAGCAGGACCGCACTCTACTTTGCTTCAGAAACGCAATGACGTCGATTCTCCTCTGTTGAACACAGCTCCCAGCGTAACTATTCCGAAGCAATGGACGCACCCGGATCGACACGACACAATAGCATGACTTTTCGAACGACCCCCGAGTGTTCTCCGTAAGTTGCGGTGTATGCAGATAGCACAGACCTACATACGGAACAACCAGGTAAGCATCGACCTGTCTCGTCCAGTCTTGCATCCTGCGGCAAAAGCTGATTGGATAACTTGATTATCTCTCATTCGGTTGAATCCACGCAATGCTGGGTATATCATGTAATGTTCGAATATCGTAACCTCGTCCAAATTCCCTTTATGTCATACTTGCTGCGTAAAGTCATATCTTCTCTTCCAAATTCGTTCTCCAATGGTTATCAAAGCATGTTGCGTGCGCGCTGTGTCTTAGCTCGGAATTTTCTGTCGCTCCCTGGGTGTTATCGTCGCACCCATTTTTCCACCTCTGAACTCAGACCATTATTTGTGACCCATTCTTCTCTCGAATCACCGATGTAGGACTGACTCATCCTTCACACCACGATACCCGCGAATCCAACTCCGACCGCAGCAACTATTCCCCTCGCCCAACCCGCAGCCTGCGACGGTGCAGCGCCCATGAAGACAGTCTGGGTGATTCCCGTCTTGCCGGTCAGCGAACCCATACCGATCTCGCCATGCCAGAGTGGCGGTGCGGGTGCCGGTGTTTTGTGTATGACGGTTATGACTGTGGGCGTCCATGTCGAATATGTTCCACCAACCCAGGTCTCGACCCACTTCGTCGTCGTGTAGTCCAGCGGCTGGCCGTAGTTGGTGTTGATGGACGAAGTGACGGTCGATAGACTGGACGATGTCGATGTAGCTGTTATTGAGCGCGAGGTGACCGAGGTGGTGGTGAGAACTACAACAAGCATGTGAGTGATGATCCAACGCTCGGCTTTGCGACATGCTGCACACGTAGACTGACGCAGTCTGGATCGTATCGTCTCAGCTCTTGCGCAAGTAGATGGTCTCAATCACTTACTCGAGTGTATCCAAGCCTGCGCTCACTGTCGCTACTGGAGAGCTTGGAGTCGGTATTGAAACAGGACTGGCCTTTACCATAGGCTGTACGCCCTCATCTTCATTGCGCTTGGCAAAGCTTCCACAAGCCAAAGCAGGCAAGACGAGAACGAATAGCGCGAATGACCACATCGCTGGCAATGTTCGATGCAAGTCGGTGCAAATAACGTAATCGCAATGTGATCGTATTCCCAAAGACTTACAAACGACAACGAAGAGCGAGGGAAATCCAAGAACCTGGCAGATGGAAAGATAAAAGGAACGCCTACCACATCAATGAAGGTACCAACCCTTTTGCAGTAACACAAGGGGAAACCGCAGCGCGACCCTCACGTCGCAGCAAGTACCCATCTGAGAGTCGCACATGCGCGATATTCCGGTTGTAACTGCATATTGTATGTAGTTGAGATGATGTTTCCATGGTTTTCTATCGGCTCCAATGCCGAGCGCAGTAGAAAAAGTTTGAAGAGGAAACCTACGACGATGCTTCAATAGCTGCAGGAAAGATACATCCGCTGTGCATTTACTCATCCGCGGTTTCACCTTTGACTCAGCTAGGCATACCCAAAATTCTCACGTCGTTCGATATTTGCGCCATCACTTTCGCGCCCATCATCGATATCTCAAATCCCACCACTCCACAGACTATCAATAAACACACCCATCTAGCCACCCAGCCACAATCTCTTGCACGACATACCTGTCACACAAAGCACCATCCAGACCACTAGCTAAGCATTTCGCACTTGCACTTGTGGCGCCACACCACACCAGGTCCTCACTAGTCGCGCGCATCAATAAAAGCTTGTGTTGCTTCGTATCCCGCGCCTCGTTGGAGGGGCAGGAAGGGAAGTCTAATCCAAAGGGTGCATACATGCTAAACAAACCAGTGTTGAACAAAAGTCTCAAGCGCAATCAAGCTTTCGCATTGCTGGCGCGCGTAACAGAAAGAAACAAACAACCCGTGCGACGATCAAAATCTCTCCTCGGTACACCCCGGTAATAATAACAAAAGCATCGGACTCCAAAGAAACACTTGCCTATGAACCAAGGCAAACCCTCGTACCTCCCACCGCAGACCCGTTCTAACAACGTCAAAGCAGGCGCGGCCTAGAATCCGGGGATGATTGCGCCGCGCCTCACGTCATGCTCATTTCCCACGGCCGTTACCGCGCAACACCCCTCTAAATAAATGCACTTGCAATATACTAGACTTTAGTATCACCACCGAAGATGCCTGCAGTAGTTTGCCGGGTGTTCCATGTTCCGGATTTTGCGCAAAACCAAGAGCTAGAAGTCAGAAAACTTGTTTGCGGGGTTGTTTTTTGCAATGAATTATAATTATACTTTCTATGCTATGCGCGCTTCGTGCAATACGAAGAGTTTTTTTCAATGGGTAAAAGTGGATAGAATGGTCCTGGGCAGAACTCCACACACCCGGAAAGTACGGGCTTGGAAACGCTTGAAGCGTACTGTGCCGCGACACAGACCAAGCGCTGTGACTCTGCCCACTCGCTTTTGGGTCCGAACCAAGGAAATATAGTGTTTGCGTGAAAGCTGTTGAACAACGAAGAAGGAACCGTGTGCTAGCCGCGCGTCGCAGCTGCAGACAATAAAGGGTATATACAAAGAAGTGAGAAGCGTAAAAACGTCGGCGACATTCCGATCCAGTAGTTAAAATATACTCGCCAAAGTGTTACAAAAAGAAAGAGGTAGGGCCGATTGATTGACCCAAGGATGGGTATTATCTCGTAACCGAAAACGCCGTCGCAAATGTATGTTCATGCACTCGTAAAGCTCGGATTGATAGTGTCGGGCTGCGGAAAGAGGGAATGTTGAGAGAGAAAGGTATTTCTATTGCATGGTATCGAGCCGGGCTCTACCACGCCAGTGACCAGCTGAGTGCGGTGACTAGCACTGGTATGGCGATGGAGAGTGATGAAACGCCGAAGCTGTTGGCTGCGCCAACGTAGCTGGTCTGGCCGGGTGTCATGTCTTTTTGGTGGCTGAAGAAGTATGTCTTGGCTCCGTCTTTGCTGACTGACACGTCGGGTGCGGTGTCTTGCGAGGGGATCGCGCAAACTTTGGCGGGGTCGTAGGTTGGGCAGCGCTTCTTGTACGCGTTTTGTGATCGCTCAGTGTCGGTCGAGTTGAAGTACGACTTCATGTACGAAATGGTCATGACGGTGTCTTTGCGTGGGGGGTCCAGCAGACCATGTTGGGTCTCCGTTGCTCCAGTGGTTGTAAGAAGATACCGCCACCCTCCGTGGGGACGTTCTCAGTCATCTCGTACAGGAAGACGCCGTCAACGTAGAAGGAAACGCGCTCCTTGGTCCAGTCGAAGCGGTACTCGTGGAACTTCTCGTCCGGGGCGGAAAGGCAGAGGCTGGACCTCGAAACCAGATGTGTTTGCGGCGTCATAGCCCTGCGCAAGGGACTGTGGTGATTGCAGGACAAGGTTTACAGCGCCTTGCGATTCGTTGAACTGGTGCGATAGGAATTCCATGTCGATCTCTTGAGAGTTGTTGTGGTACTGTCTACTGTTAGCAACTGGTACGTGCGGGCGTAACTGGCCAAACATACGAAGAAGAAGGCGCCGCATGTCCCTGAAGAATTTGACAACTTCATGCCCACTCGAAAGCTCCCAAGCAGCGCATCCGTCCGCGCTGAGACGATTTCCGAGCCGCTCACAAGACCGTCGATGTGGTTTGCGCGCACCCACAACTCAAGACCAGCATCCCCACCATGTTCTGCATCTCCCGACCATCCCGAGCTCTTCAAAGGATTTGTGACGATATTGTTCAATTGGAAGTTCTTTCCATAAGGCCCACGTGCGGATTTTGAGTTTACTTCGTAGACTTGTGGTTGCCAGCCGTACTCCTTCATCTGCAGCGCGGGCGCAGACGTGTGTAAGAAGTCGTTCTCCAGCAGTTCAGTAAAGACGGCATGGTCCGCGTCGCTTGTCTTGTTCAGCGAGTATCCGCACTCGCAGGCAGCGCTGGCTACAAAGCGGGTTGGTCAGTATTGGCCGGAGAGAAAGACAGCCCGCAGCTAAACTTACTCAAGCGAGAGACCGCCAGAAACAGCCACGGTAAGGCGCCCAATGTGGCTGAGCGAAACATGTCGGGTGAAATTATTACAGCGAATGACTATGGGTGAGGTATGGTAGAAGGCACAAGTAAAAGAATGACAGGCGCACAAAGCAAGTCCCTAAAAAGAGCAATCGGGAGGGAGCAGCATGAGCTTTTACAGCAGAAACGGTAGGGGCTTGGAGGGCCTCTTGGGAGGCAGTTGCGCAGCGCCATGGGAGCCGGCGCCCTGACCAAACTAGTAATTGTCTTCGTGCCTTCCACCACTCACGCGCTGGTGCCAGGGGCCCAAGCGTAGCCGTTTGCTGCGACGAGACACCAGCATGCCGGGAACCGCGTCCTTGAGAGGCGCGGAAATGACCCACACGAGCACTTGTGGGGATGCTAGCACTGGTGTGCGCTCGGCGTCTCGAACAGTGCACCTGTCAAACATCCAGAGTCTCTCTAGGAGCCCATAGACTTCGCTACTTTGCTTTTCGCGCCCAAGGACAGACACGAATGGCCGTCTGCGGATCAACTCCCATCGACAACCACGGTAGATAGGGTTTTTTTTGAGTGCATCGACCCCTCTTTGCGGAACAAGAATGAACAGAGACTGGCTCGCGGACCGCTATCCAGGCGACGCGCAGTGTTGCACAACATGATTGCCTCGATCAATCGGCCACATGCAAGGGAGTCATTTCCACCAGCAGTTGGCAATTGCTGTTTGCCTGGCAACGTCGAGTGGCCATCGCGTCGAGTATGCAAGTAACCTCGATGCCTTGGGATGATCCTCGCGTGAAGACGTCACGCGGGAGGATCTCTAGGAACGCGGAAAAGGCTGGAACACCGTGCCTGGTCAAGCCCTGTTTGGATGTTGTCCCGTGTGTCGATGCACTGTCGCATGCGCAACGTTCGCTGCCCAGCGTTGCACATGCAGCGGACTTGTCAGGTTCCTGTCATCGACAAAGCCAATCGAAGCGACAGAAAGGGCTATCCCTGGCACTGGGTCTGGGAGCATCCTGAAACGCACACCAAATGCCCGATTGGCACAAGCGAATAGGAGTGCCTGGAAGCATGGCGATCTCGGCAGTCTCCCGAGTTGGGCAAGTCACATTGGAAGGAAGCTGGGCAAACTCATGCTCATGAAATTGCGACCTCGCGGCCTATCCTCATTCGAATACGGAGTGCCTGATGCCAATGGCAAAGCCAATAGCAAACACGAGGGGAAGCTGCGGAGAATTCGTAAAATAGCTCCTGCCCATGACAATGGCGAAGCTGGGCATCAATCCAAACCATTCCGTCTCCGATGCAACAATACTGCAGCAGAGCCGAACCATCTACGCCAGCCGAACAGTATTTCCAGACCTCATAATCGTAGCCAACATGACCGTACGCCAATAAATTCCCAATCGATTCGATAAACAAACGCTTTCGTGGGGTATCAATCACAAGAAACCAGACTCGGACAGTAGCCTACCCCCATTAGTCAGCCTGCGGACGTTGAGGGAAAAAGTACTGTGTGTACCTGGCAATTTTCTCGTCCTCGCGCTCACGCGGCTCTACGGACAAACTCATCTCGTACATCTCGTGCACATCGCCTGCCGATTGCATGTTGGTCAAGATGTAATCTTGTAGCTCTGGCACCGGCTGGAGTGGGTACGGCACATTCTGGTATTGCTGGATGTCTCGGATCACCTCAGCCGTCTTTGCTCGCTTGGCAAAGTTGATCAGGTTCGTCTTTTTGATGAGCGAGGGTATACCATCCTCGATGAATGTGAGATCCGTGAGGTAAACACCTGGTCTCGTTAGCCATAGAGACAGACTTTAGAAACAGCGAGACTCACCAAAGAATGGAATACACGGTGGATTTGCCCTGTGAAGGGTGTCGCGGTATTCTGCAAAGTTCTTGGTACTACCCATGAGCTTGCGCATACTCTCCAAGACACCCATGGAGCGCTGATTTACTGCACTCCACGTCCTGTTGAGACGATGAATTGGCGCCGTGCCCAAAGCTGAGATGATCGACGTTAGTGTGGAGAAGTTGTTCAATTGGCGGCATTTCTGAAAAAACATTAGCCGAGCAAATTGCATGCTTATCCACAGTAACTTACATCAGCCACCATGACAAAGTGCTTAATGACGATCACTCTCCTCTTGACATCCTGCTGGGTTAGAATCATCTGGGCGACCCAGTTGGTCAACTGGTTAGAGTGGAGAATCAACGCCTTGACGTTTGCGGCAGGGTCAGGCTCGCCAGGAGCAAGCTTCTTCTGCCACGTCTTGTTAAGGCATTCGGTCGGTCGGATTTTGCCGTACAGCCTGGATTCGATCGTTGTGAGTTGACGAGCGAACTCTGTTGCGTCAATGTCGAGGAATTTGAGCTTCTTCATGTGCTTTGGCAGAATTGGCTGTGGAGTCTGCGCGTTCAGGGTGGGGACCAAGCGCTTCGTTGGCATGTCAGGTCCACGCGATCGCTGCTCGACAGATGTCATGAGAGGGCCTGCTCCAGGGGTACTGGTTGTGGCCACATGGTCCTTTGCGAAGTTGTAGACTCTCTGAATCAGAATACGAGCCTCTTCGTCGTTGCCCTCCATCCAGTAGTTGTCGAACCAACTCTTAAGGATATTGACGACACGGAATCTGATGGGTTTCTGCTTCTTGTCTACCCAGGTCTGGTAATCTTCCTTGGCGAGGCCGTGCGGTGGCTGTATGCTCCATCTCTTGACTAGCATTTCGAATAGCTCGCCCGCGGTAGTGAAGGAACGGTAAGTGAGGAGGAAAGTATTGTTGAATGCTGGGTCCAGGCGATCGTGTCGTGTGAGTTGTTCTACGAGACCTGCCAGAGTACCTCCGCGTAACGCAGGGGGCACCACTTTGTGATCGTATGAGATCTCACCTTCGTGGTCAAGCTTGAGATACTCTGGTGTCTCTTCCATGACTGCTGTGGGGGAAGACTGGGACCACTTCGCCGAAAAACTTATTGGGCTTGTTGCTGTTGTTCGGGCGTGATGGCTTCCTCTCGGTTTCGTCCAGCACAATGCCCTCAGAGTATGTCTGCGATTTGTTCATATTTCCAAGTAATGGCCTTTCTGAAGACGAAGGTCCACGAGTGTGAGTGGGACCAGGCACTTCGGAGTCAGTATTCCTTCGTGGGTCAGTGCGTGGGATAATGTCTGCCAGTGGCACTGCGTCGGAGAGAGCATGTAGAAGTCCATATTGCTGAGCAACAGTTGCTTCCAAGTCACGGGAAACGTTCCGAACAGCATTGATGCGGTCCTCGAGCGAGTCGCCTCGGAGCTCTGCCCATTCGTCCCCGAGGGGTGCAGCGACTCCTTGGCACACAATGACGAGTTCTGAGACCATATCATACGCCTTTTGCTTGTGCATGCTGAACTCGTTGAGCTGTTGCGCTTGCAATGGCGAATCGAGCGAAGACAGGTTGATCGATTCAATGGTCGAGATCCACGGTCGGCACACTTCGAGCACCTTTACTGCGGCGTTACACACGTGGTCGCCAATCACCTGATGCCGCTGGTGAGAAATAACCTTGTCGCGAACAACCAGCTGCTCTTCAAGTCGTCGCAGACTTGACACTATAAGTCTCTTGATGTCCTCCAACCTCTCAAGGATTCGCGAATCCAGCTTGACGGTGGGCTCCACGAACGAGTCGTAATCATCCTGATCTATAAAGGACGTGGACGAGTTAGGGTCTCGGATGTTCACACCGTTCGAATTCCAGCTTCCGCCAATGTTGCTGCCAACAACAAAGCCCGGTACCAGGCGAGGAATCTCCTCTCCACGCTGCTGCCGAGCCACCTCCACAAAGCCATACACGCCATTCAGCACGCCATCCGCCTCTTTCAGACACTTGGAGTACGAATCCGGTGGCGGGAAATCAGAGGCTGCGATATGCGAGGAGAGGACCAATTTCGAGAAGCGGGACATGGTTTCACGGAAATGCGGGTAGAGGGCCTTGTTGGTGGAAATAATGGAGGGGTTGCCAGAGTGGTTGTCCGTGGTGCCAGAACCTGCAGCGAGCAGCAGACGCAGATGGTCTGATATGTCCTCGGCCCGTTTCACAAACTCAGAGCGGGCACTGTTGTTGATGGCCTGTCTGTAGCGCTCAATCGCCCGGCGCATGTCCTCCACCATTCTGTTCCAGGTCAGCGGCACGGGGTTGACGTCGTCGTAGAACTTGCGCGACTGCACAGAGGTGGGCGGGCCGCCCGTAGGATTGTTTGCGAAGGAGGTGGCCGTGGTACCGATTGGGGGCATGGCAGCAGCCGAGAAGCTCGTCATACCGTTGGGCTCGTGAGACCGCGATGAGAAGCCGCCGTTCATCGACTCCATGGAGGTAGCCGGCGAGACACCGTCAGACAGCCGCTGTCGTGTGTGCTGTATGGCTCGGTTAGCTTCCGCTCGTGGCGCTGCCGGCGCGCTGCTTACCATGGAGCTGTAAGAGCCATGTGCTGTGTGCCCCTCAAACTCGGATGCCGACGTCTCGTCGTCCGTGTCCTCGACGCTGTAGCCGGAAGCGAGCATCTCAGGCGGCGGCCTCGACGACTCTGGTATGAAGACATTGACGCGGTCGCGGGGGCCGCTCTCGTTGGGCGAGGGCGACTCCAGGGGCAGCTCCATTGTGCTGACGCCCGTCAGGGTGTTGAAATAGAACAAGCGGCCGTCGGGCGTGGCCTGGGGTATCCAGAAGGCGGCCTCCTCCTCTTTGCTGCTGCTATTGGCGGCGCCATTGCGCTCGATGGGCAGGATGGTGTCGTTGCCGCTCAGCGACTCCGTGTCCGAGTTGGTGTAGTCGGTGCCGCCTAGCGACTGCGCATCTTGGTCATCGTCTGCGTCCGCGCCGTTCCTGTCGTCTTCGGCTTCGTCGCTCGGGCGTTGCACAACGGCGCAGTAATTGCTGGGGAACCAGCCGCGCACTCCATTGATGACTCCATCCCACCAGCCGCTCTCCAGCTGCGTGATGACCTGTATGATCTCACCCTGTCTGAACGATAAACTAGTTCGATCTCCAAACACGGTTAGCATATGCTTGTGGGTGTGAAAAGAGGTATCCGAAGTACTTACCGTCTGCTTCGTAGTCGTAGAGTGCCCTCACGTACATGCCTCCCGGCGAAGTGGTGTTGGTGAAGGAACTCATCGCACCGCAAGGGAAGAAGAACCCTTCGCCAGTAGATGAGTCCTCTACTGCAAGTGCGAAGCCAGAGGTGGTTGTCCGTGGGAGGTGTAGGTGTAGGTGTAGGTGTAGGTGTAGGTGCGCTGCGACCGCCTTTTCGTCTCGTCTCGTGTCGAACGGGAGGCAAGGACGGCCAAAGGCAAATGCCACCCGACACCTTCAAGCTGGGCTGGACAGGTGCAAGAACTCCAAAGAAAATCCAGAGGCCGGCGGGCTCTTGTTACGACGCGGTTGAGTTCGCGCGGTGGGTGACCAGTAGCCAGGGTGGAGGCGAGCGAGGTTGATGTTATTGGCGGCGGGACGCCCCTCACTTTGCGCGCCTTGCAAGAGACGCAGCGAATAGAAGTCCGCAGCACACGCGCTGCTGCTAATGCTTCAGTGTGGTCGAGTAGAAGGGATTGTTGTGTGAAAGACCCTGACTGCAGCCCTAGAGCCGGCACGTGATGGTATTCTTCGACTTAGTGCCGCAGTATTAATGAAGCACATGCATGTCCTCATCCAAGCATACCCGCACCCGATATTTACACGGCAATCTAGCTGGTAGACTGCAGCACTGCCTTGCTCATCTCATTGTCTATCCGACGCTTGGCACCGTCAAAGCAGGTGAAGCCTCGCCCGGCCCGGCCGTCTGTCTGCGGATTATTCCTCACAGAGAGTTGCAAAGAGCACCGTGCGAACCCCACCGACTCCAATACCTCGATCCTCAACACGCCAGTAAGCTAGCATCACCTGAGGACGGTGGGGCCTGAGGCGATTCTACACCTCTAGAGTATGCCGCTTGACTCGTTTCACCTTCATGGGGATCCGCCAGGCCGTCTGCAAGTCATCCACCACCGTGACACCAGCATCTTGCCTGCACCCTCGACCTGCTACGTTACATGTGCAACACGACGACAACGGACTTTAAGAAAAAAGCACGTCTCGCCGTTGCAGCGCGCTCACTTCGTCCACCTCTGATACAATCCGCAACCCATTCCCAGTTCTCCCAAGAAAATGCGCCTTTAAATCTTACACTGGATCTGCGCTGAGGCTTCTAAGCAGAGCGTGCAGGATCTCCTCCTGCCACATGAAGGGAGAAGGCCCGATGGAAGCGCACTCGAAGTCTCCTAGCGGCCCCATCTGATACCCAAAACTCGCTTGGTGCTATCGCGTGGAAGCGGACGGACATTTTCTTTCTGGATCGTGAGACGCCGGCATGTGCGTAGCGGCAGGCCCACCACCATCAGAATCTCCCTCCCGCGTAGATATCAAAGAATGGCCACTCTGACGAATAGCTACCGCGCTGCACAGCACACGTGGGAAACTCGCACCACGCCGCGGGGGTTTCATAGCAATCGTCGGAATGTCACTGCACCGTGTGCTATTTGTAGGAACGTGTTTTGCATAGGTTAGGAATCGGAACAAGCTCGAGTTTCCGGTGCGCGCGCGCCACGGAGAGTACCATGCAAACTGCCTCATTGGACCACGCAGCCCGTTGCAACATGGACCTTGAAAATACTCTGCACACTGCTGCGACCTTCACCGCCGCGGATGACTGCCTTGTTCGCTCGGCCCGGCTGATTACACGGCAAGCGGGCGCGAGCCGTCTTTTCTCCAGCGGACGGACCTCTATTTGAATCCCATTGAAACCACGGGCCCTGTCCTGGTGCAGCGCAGCAAATGTGTTCTAGCGCGGGGGGAATCAATAGTCGTGCGAGCGCCCCTCTGCTGAGGAACGCGGAAGTATAGCTGCGATGGTACGATGTGTGAATATGAGGCTGCAGTTCATACATGCTTTCGTTCGCGAAGATGACGGTGAGAGCTGGCATAAGCGATGCCTTAGCTTGCAGGCCACGCTTTCAGGGATCACAGGGCAGGCCCCGACGTGTTGGTTGAGCGGGGCATTTTTTGTGGGTTCAACTTCCTGCTTACTGCTAAATCCTGATGAACTGGATGTAGCACCGAGACCGAAGAGCATGCGATATTCCCGGCGTGTTGAAATAGTCTAGACTGTCATCCTGGCTATATGCCCAGGAATAAGATCAAGTTTGGGTGTGAAAGAATCATTTAATATCGTGTATCTATATACGCACCAATGTAACCTTACGTAATCTATAGTTTCGCTCGAATTGCAGGCAAGCTCATGGATATCTTGCTCCTCATGACTTCGGTGTGCAAGCCCGACAGTACCGTCTCCATTGTCACTGGTCTTGAACTGATATTCAGCAGTGCCTCATCCACCAGTGCGAGAACATCGCCAGCACACCCAAACGACAACGTCCATCCGGAACCGCCATGGCCGTAGTTGTGCACAATCCGACTAACCCTTCCTCCTCGATGTGATCGCAACTCGCGCTCTACACGCACATTCTTAGGGCGAAATGGCCGAAGGCCTTGTGCTACTGGATACTCCGGGTCGACTCGTGCTTTCTTGAGATCCGGAAGGAATGCTTCACAACGGGCTCGCATGCGCTTGATGATAGGCGATTCCAGCGTCAAGTCGAGTGAAGACTCGTTGGGTTCAGCAATGCCACCAATGAGCAGTATGTTGTCGTTCCTTGGAACCAGGAAGACAATTTCATTCGAGTCGTGCACCGCGTCCGCAGACACGATAAGACATTGGTTCAGCTTCGGGAAGTCACTGCCGTCGTTGATGACGCGAATGAGTCCGCCGCGGATGGGATAGCACAGTTTATCGCTTGCCAGCTCGTTGGCTGCCAGTCCGGTGCAGTTGATGATGACTTCTGCGGAGAATTCGGCGAGCAGAGACGCTTCCTGGTCGAACAGGTCGCCGGTGATGGTTCGTGTGATGAGTCTGGCGCCTTTGGATGTGACAAGATCTTTGAGGAATGCCATGCACACATCCGTATCGATGACGGGCGCGAGATGTTCGTACGCATCGACTGCCCCGTATGAAGCTTCCACACGGCGTTCCTTAACGAGAGCCGGATCCCGTCGAAATCCCCGTATACCCTGTGCCTTGATTTCTTCCATCCTCGCCATCTGCACCTCATCCCCCTCTAGCGGCCCCGGGAAGAAGAAATCTGCCTTCCTCATCTTGACTCCCGCTCGCTCCGCAAGGCCCTCCGTGCCAGCGATCGCATCCCATATATGATAAGACACCATTGCCCACGGCTTCGAGCGCTGGAGAGAAATCGCATCGGTATGCTGTCCGCAAACCGCCGGAGGGAATTCCCACAGCGCGCCCGCGATCTGAGAAGTCAAGCGTTGCGTCTTGCCATATGTAGCCCACTCCTTTGAAAGAATCGTAACGTGGTAGCCTTTGTCGAGCAGCAGCCACGCATTCACCAGGCCAGTGACACCTCCGCCAATAATCAGGATATGTGGAGAAGAAATCGTCGGCGCATGTAGCGCAGTGGGTCTCGCGGATAAATCCCGTCCGTAGACGAGTCCATCTTTCGGTCTGTATTGTATCGCCGCCATCTTTTGTTCTGACTCAAAAGTTAAGTTTGCGACTCCAATATATACTGACTCCAGTCGTATGCCATCCCACGTTCTGGGTGTCAAGTGTAAACGCCCGTTGACCGTTGGCACTATCCGCGGCTGACGCGCGGGAATGTTTGTGGATGCCACGCATCCGTCTGCATGCACATATCGGCGCCGAGCATTGCTGTAAACAAGGCAAATCCAGAACAAATCACATCCAAAGGAGGCCCAAATGAGGCAACTTTACATGTACATATGCACATCCCGACACGAAACGGATTGTAAGTGGCCAGTTCACGTGCTTGGCAAGGTATACAATACGAAGGTAGAGTAGGCGCAGTGGAGCAGATGATGCAGGTGACGGGAGAATCCGAGGGAAGGTCTGACGAACCTGGGCGTGTAAGCTTATGGGGGAGGTGAAGGAAACGTAAGAATTGGGAGTCATTGTTGGTATTTTGTTCGTGCGTGGTGAGCAGGTGATGTGAAGAGAGTAATGGCGCCGAGTAGTCAGCATTACGCAGGTACCATCGTCATCGTAGTGCTCAGGTAAGAAACCATTTTCAGGCGAATTTCCTCGCGTCGCTCCAGCTTATGAGGCGGTCAAGATCCTTCAAGCCGGGAGAATTCTTCCGTAGTCGTGACCGAAATGTCATTATATCCCCAGTCTGATCCAACAGAATAGGAAAGAGCCACGTCTTATTCACCGACTTTGATTGACGGTTTACGCAGACCCAAGTATGTAATAGCGTGGGATGCAAGTCCTCTCTTTCCAAGGACGTGATCTTCGAATGGTCTCGGGAATAATCTTTGATCTCACTCTTGTCTATACTTTCAGGGCTTATGTGCGTAACGGTCACGCCACCCCACTCCCCAGAACGTCTGGCCCTCGCTTTCCCCAGTAGCATGCTTGCGCCTAGCGGGCGAACGGCATGACTGAAACTATTCATATTAGCCTACCCTGCTGTCGTCGGAACCGCGTAGTTCCCAGGTCCTCTGTACCCCAGCGTCACATGCAGCCATCCTGCAAGATCTCGCACCAACTCCTTAAAACTATAGCGTGTTAACTTGTAATGCGCAGGCACTTAGGAAAGACGGTGGCCGCCCATCCTTCACCGCTCTCTCTTCGCTGCATCCATTAGAACGGGTACTTGGAGAGCAGAACGACTCTACTGAGCTTATGGGTTTCGCCATTACGAGACTCTTCATGACATGACTCCTCGGACGTCACCTAGCGACAACTCGACGAAGAGGGGAAGAAGAAAGAGATAATGTAGACAAGGCGAGCAAAAAAAAATCGCTCGATGGTCGTGCTAGCAATATTCCATGGGTACTGATTGATCTTCCTGGAGAATTTCGTGGAATCTAGGGGCGGCTTATGGAAACTATTGACATACTGAAGCTAATCAGGCTGTACTGTAGCACTTCTGACCTGAGTTTCACAACATCCTGAATGCCCTGTGGTTGCAGTGTCCAGGCGGGAGAATACTGGCGTGACTGCGAACTATTGCTCGACCTGGAGCTGATATCTGTAGTGAGCATATAGGAACAGCCGATAATTTCACTAGAGGGTAAGATGTAGCCGTACCCAAGTATGTGTGAGCTCATTGTAGGATAGTTTTTTCAATTCTTCGAAGGAAGAAGTCGTGCCTCCCGTTCACCTCGACCGCTTAGTTAAGTAGAGGATCCTCTGCTAGCTCTTGTATGATACAACGGCCACAACCTACATGCAGGGCTGTTCAGCAAGTCTAATTTCGTCGGCGGCACGTGTAGGCTTGGAGGAACTCTGAGTACTATGAGAGTCCATTTGGAACGCCATGTGTGAACCTGAAGAGCTTCGATAGCTTATTAGTACGCCACGAAGTACTGCAAAAGTTTTGGGGTTAGACAACCTCAACTTCCAGACACGCCGATAGTGTATAGAATCCATACACAGCGCGCAGGAATTTCGGCAGTTTGTCGCAGCTCGGATGAGGTCGAACGACTCGAAGAAACGCATGTCTCGCGTTCCAACATACTGAGAGCCGAACAGTCACACGGAACGAGTCTCGGTGGTCTGGACGTGACTGAGTCAAACATGCGCCGTCGCTCGGTTATTCCGCAATCCGCAGTCCCCGTCGAGTGCATCCCTGCCTTACCAGCCACCTCATATTTGGCGCGAGCGTTGTGCCCCTCGTTGAGCACTTGTCGGCATCAGGCTGTCGCCTAATGAGGACACCATTCGGTTATCAGATAGGTTTCCGCAACCGCCGCGCTTTTAGCGAGAGCATCCACACTCGCAGCTATAGAGCGCGACCTGGACTTGGAAGCTGCCGCATATCCACTAACATTCTGACGCAGCCATGGACCGGAGCCAAGTGGGGTCGCGGGGGACGGGGACTTAGCCCCGCAGTTATGGGTCCAGGTTTCCAGGAACAGATTCCTCGAACTAATTTCCAGAATGACAAGGGCGATCGTGCAACTTCCGATCAGAGGACGGACGTGGCACGCCCTCGTTTCGTCATGTCATTCCAGAAGACGAGGGGGGCTGCCCCTTTTTCACGCCCCTCCGTCATGGACACAGACCAGCAGAAGAGGGGTGGTGGTGGTGGCACGTTGTGTGTGTGTCAGTATTGAAGCTGTGTATGGAACGGTCGGCAAAAGTGAGGCGGTGAGTGCTCGTATGCACTCGATGCATCTGATAAGTAGCGCAGCGCAGACTACGCCTTGTAGAGGTAAAGGTAGAGGGTAGTTTGACAGGTGTTTACCGCTCTTTCTTGACCTCGGTGTGACAGCTAGTCGTTGAGCAGGCCAATTCTCCGCCGACGGGACGTAGCACGGCGACTTTCCTCCAAAGGTGGAAGAGCGGTTGGACAGCGGGTTGCCAGGTACTAGCAGCACCAGTTGCTCCACAGAGGCCCCGGGACGGTCCAGCAATGTGTTGTGATGGTGAGGGGGTTGAGTGTTGATGGAGGATTGGATGCATTGCAAGCAATGTGATGAACATTGTGCCTTGCTCGGTTGAGCTGACAGGGCAAGAGCGACGCACTCCGCGGCGCAAAAGCAAAGTGTGGCAGTTAATGGCGTATTATTAACAGCGCGTAATTGGAACGCAGCGGTGGCATTCGTAGTGTAATATTCACACTTTCGGAGCGACAGACGGCAGGGGTGGATGGCTGGTGTGAGGCTCAAAGCACGGGCGCTCGTCGAGAGGTCGAGTGCCCGCCTTGAGCGCCCCTCTCCCTCCTTTATTCCGCGCTCGCACAGCAGCTTCCGAATCCCATCCCATCACCATCCCCACGCTTCATCAACTGCGGGCGCATCTCTACCGCGCCGTCGCATATCTGTATCATCCCTCAACCGACCTTTAGCTATCCCTCGTGTGCAATTCCGCGGAATGAGAGATTTCGCGAGCCACCGTTCCACGCCCACCACCAACACGCTTTAACGCCCCTCGCGCGACGGCCGTCGAGACATCTCGCTGCATCAACCACACCCGGCCACGATCGCATACCACCGTTACAACCGCCTAGATGGCCGGCACATCGACGCCTGCTGGCGCTCGAGTTCCAGAAAAGAAGTACAAGTAAGCAGTCGACGAATCGCGCATGCGAGAAATCACTGACGACCTCCAGGTGCCAATATTGCAGCCGCGCATTTAGCAGAAGCGAGCATCGTAGCCGTCACGAACGTTCTCGTAAGTGCATCTCGCAGTTCGCGATGGAGCTTGGTGTTTTGAGGCGGGGTAGCTGTTTACTGCTGCGGGACACCGCGTGGTGGTCGCGCTGCGGGGAAACCGACATACACGTGGTTCCCACAACCCCAACTCCTTCACGCACACCTCCACCATTCGCAAAGCAATTCAAACAACACAACACCAGCTAACTGCCTCTATTAATAGACACTAAAGAAAGACCCTTTAAATGTGATCGCATACTACTATGATGACTGCCTAAATAGCTAGCACATCGACGCCTGCTGACGCTCAAGTTCTAGAAAGAAATACAAGTAATTAGTTAACGAATCGCGCATGCGAGAAATCACTGACGACCTGCAGGTGCCTTCAAGAGCAAGCCTTGCGGAGCGCTCTCACGGCTCCAAGAATGTAGAATACAATGAAAACAGATCCTGCTCATCTCTCGCCTCACCTGTAATTCCCGCATCCCTTTGCCTCAGGCTTGTTGAACAGCTTTACCTGTGTATATACGGCTGCTCTCACTTGAAAGCCCCGCAATGGCTTGTTCGAAGCGCATATAAACAGGCTGCTGCTTCTCACCTCCATCATTTCTACACCAACTCTGATCACAGCGAGCTCGACGTCGAGCCACGAACCCTCAGGACAATCAATACTACTTCAACAGCAACCGCAGCATACGAAGAGCACACCCATCGCCCTCCATGGCGCAGCCGAGTGAGGTGGGAGATGGCGGGCTACCGACCGCAGCTGCTCCACCTCGATCAAGTTTCAAGGACGCGAACAAGTCCGACAAGAACGAAGAAGAGCCTGCAACTGCGACAAGAGAGTCGAAAGCAGCACCAGTTCGCAACCCATACCTCCAAGCTCCAACTGCTGAAGCTATTCGCCGATACCAGAAACGCGCGACGAAGAGCGGCGGCGTCATCGTGGACGGAACCTATTGGCCACACCATCCCAAATCCTCTGTAGAAAAGCTGAGGAAGAGCTTCACCGATGATGGCATCCTCCACCCAGAGAAGTTGACAACTTGGGACCAGTATCTTTGCAAAGATTCATCGGACTCGTCATTGAATCCCTACCATCCATCGTACGATCCCATCCCAGCAAAATACTATCCGGAAATTTTGAAAAGCGCTGCCAAAGGCGGTGGTATCTTCGTGGACAAGGACGAAAAGAAAGGCTTTATCGAGGGATGGAACCTTACCCAGCTGCGGTCGAATCACGAACATCTGATGGAGGAGCTTGAAACGAGGAACATAGATTTCAATCTTCTCAGACATCGATGGTTAGCCGCAGAAGAAAGAATGAAGGCTCTGGAAGGAAGACACCAAAGCACGCTCCAGAAGTATGAGCGCGAGAAGACTGCGCTCAAAGTCCGGGTCATGGAGTTGGGGGGATGGCCAGGAATGATCAACGAAAGCGAACAGGAAGAGACGGAACTTGGTGCAAGCGCAGACGTGGAGTTGCCACTCGACAACAAGGAAACCACGCAGACCAGCAAGGGCCAATCTGATGAACAGGAAGTCATTGCCCAGCCTGCGGAAGATCAGGGCGATGATGACGGAAAGCCCAAGGATACTATTGCTGAAGTTGCGCTGGTATCAACTGTCTCTCAAGATTCGAAGAAAGCCGTTGCGCTGTCTCTTCCGAACGATGAGCGGAAGTCAACGAAGAAGAGCGAAGGACCCACGAACACGACCGCCGCTCCTCAGAGGAAAGACGTGCAGGCAGATCAAGCTGCTGAGAAAGTGAAGATGATGCAAGATTGGAAACAGGAGTTCAACAAAGCCGCCAGGAATCAGCTTGCCGGGAGCGTGAAGAACACCATGTTTGATATTGAAGCAACGCTTGGCGTAGCTCAGCATCATCTTCTCCTCATACCATATCGCCGACTTCCAATGGCAATGAAGCTGGATGGTACAACATTCGACCCGAATCCGACTGGAACTTTAGGCCCTGAAGAGGTTGCAAAGGTTTTGGAAAGCATCGGAAGCGAGGCCTGTCAAGCCTTGCAGAGAGTGGTGGCAGAGATTGCAGGTATGACCTGCTCTCCTTACGACATTCCTGCAAAGCTCATCAGCGCTGCAATGTCAAGGCAAGACGGCACAACCTATTCGGAGAAGATCCGACTGCAATACCGCGAGGAATACGAAGCGGATCCAGAAATGAAATTGATGTTGTCGGAAGTTGGCCGCCTTGCTGATCGTACTTTGGGAATGCCGCCCCCAGATCGGAAACCATCAAGCACTCCAGCAACAGAGTCAATAGTCAAAATCAAGACTGAGCTGAATGGGGATGACGCATCCATGAATCGAGAACAGCTGGAAGACACACCACGATCCAATACTGGAAAAGGAACCCCTGTGCCTGAGAAGAAAACGAGTCGTGCAAGGAAATCACCAGCGGAGCGCAGACAATTCTTCCGTGAAAACTCGAGGAATGGAGTCATCCACATGTTTGATGCAACAGACGCAGACATGTTAACGTACATGGGCGACATCCGATGGTCGCAAGCTATACACAGACATCGGTATGATCTGGCCTGAGTGTGCGAAGGATATGGCAGACGTCGATGCCAGTGCCTGGGGCGCAATGAGCAGAAAGCTCGCTCATTATTGCGAAGCGTCTCATGGCTCAGGGTGGATTGTCCTCTGTTCTGGAGACGTGGGCAATTGCGGTGATTGCAACCACCAGGACTGGAAGAGTGTCGACATCTACTTACCGCCCGGTACTCGAGTCTATATCCTCAGAATAGGCTGGGGTATCAACGAAGATGGCTTGATTTGCAAGATGGATAAAACGCTGAACCCAACAACACAGCCCAATCATCTCGGTTTTCCTAATATCGTCATACAAGGAGATACATCGGTCTGGTCGCTGGGAAGTACCTTTACTCGAGCTCGCCGATCAGTGCCACTTCATATTCAGAAGGCTGTTGCGAGTGGGAAGATTGGTGAAATGGCTAAGAAGAGTAAGGCGACAGATCCGGTCCGGTACCTCAGGAAGAACGAAAAGGGACAAGCCATTCTCAAACCAAATTTCACGGATGGAACACGAAAACTTGAGAACGGCGGAAGGCTCCCTGGTGTGATCAAGAATTTTGACAAAGACTTCGGAAACATTGAGGAATTCCACCAGAACCGGATCCGCCACTTGTGGGATACCAGCGACATCAAAGGCTACTTTGACAGTACGGTGGTCAAGATGATAAAGAAGATCGACGAGTACGAAAATTCAGGTATTTTGAAGAAGCAGCAGTTCGACATACAGAAAGATTGGTTCACTCGAGCCGATGTTGAAGAATTTCATCGATCAGGGTGTCTAGAAAACTTGTTACTCGATGTAGCTCGGAAAACAGCACCAGAGAACTCAGCTTCCGCGGTCAAGGGCCGCAAACCCAAAGCTGAACGCCTGACCTCAAGCAGCTTACATGAGCTGTCAGAGGACCCAATCGTCCGCCAGCCAGCTAGGAAACGCAAGGCTGCGCCTACCACCCCTGCTCCATCCCGCTCGAAGAAGATCAAGCAAGGAAACGAGAAACAGAATGGCCAACAGGAACTCGCAGCAGACTCTGATGCTGATGGAGGAGAAGAAGAAGGAGCCAAAGATGATATGGCTGAACCGGTAGAATTCCAAGATCTTTTTGCTGAGGCAGAAGAAGAAGGAGCCAAAGATGATATGGCTGAACCGGTAGAATTCCAAGATCTTTTTGCTGAGGCAGAAGAAGTCGAGGAGTATATTCCTTATGGGGGTCGGAAGAAGTTGCGATACGTTGAGAACAACAACATAGAGTTGAATATGTGAGTCTTTCACTCGCACCCTACGTGCCGCCACTGGTACCAGCCGTAAGTTCTTCCCGATGTACATTCATGTCTTCCTAAAACTCACCTACTTTTCTAGATAGTCATCTGGGGACACCTCCTCCATCTCGCCGCCAGTATACTCTACGATGGCAGCACCACTTTTCCGGGAAGGCAAAACAGCCAAAGTTACCATGTCTGGCTGGCATCCAAACGATTCTCCATACAAAAGTCTTTTTGCGTCTGCTTTCTTTTATCTCCCTTTCCAGATGCTTCAGCCAAGGTACACTCTGCGGGCTGTGCGACGGCTGTCCTCAGTCGAGGACCTGCACGATGTTCCATGCCTCAAACATGAATATCCCGTGCAGCAGACCGCCAAGTCGTATACCCTGCGGCGGTGCTACTTTCGGAACAGGCATGATGGTAACAAGTTTTTGATTTATCCTTTTCATCTGCATTACAGCATATCTCACATGGAACATCGGTTCTATAGCAAGCTTGGCTGCATCCATTGATCAATCTTCGGGGGCGTTTGCATCGAAACTGATGTGAAAGACAGCCAGAGACGGAAGCGCTGGCGGGTGACATAGCTTCTCATATCTCTTACAAAATATATCCTCTGCATCAATGAGCCTTCCCAAGAACATCGTGTATCATGAAGACTCTGTCAATATGAAGTGTTCTTGCCAGCATTCGCTCGCACCGTTGGCTGTCCTTTGAGATGGCTGTGTCGTTGAGAAATGTCCCATACTACGCGTAGCAAGATGACCTTCCTGTCAAACCCCGCCAAGCTGATCTCAACTGGCTGTTCATTGGGACTGTTATATTTGTTAAAACATTCCTATACCATACATGTCAAGATGGCTTTCTCATAAAACCCCGCCAAGTAGGCGTCAATTGGCTGTCCACTGAGACGGTCGTGTTGTTGATGATTTCCCCGTACCACACATGTCAAGATGGCTTTCTTATCAAACCCCGCCAAGTAGGCGTCAATTGGCTGTCCACTGAGACGGTCGTGTTGTTGATGATTTCCCCGTACCACACATGTCAAGATGGCTTTCTCATCAAACCCCGCCAAGTAGGCGTCAATTGGCTGTCCACAAAGAAGGATGCGCTGCCAAAGAGTTTGTCATACTTGCACTTATTACTAGAAGTCATTCGCCAAACACACATGGATTGGCTGTCCACGAAGATGGCTAAAACGTGAAGAATCTTCCAGGCCGTATATATCACGCGACGTTCCCCGCCGAATACTTATCGATCGGCTGACAACTAAGACAGCTGATGTTGACGAGTTCTTCACACCGTATGTATTGCGAGAAGTCATCCGCCAAGTAAACATTAATGGGCTGCCCGTGAAGATGACTCATATGTAGAAGAAAACTTCAAGCCATATGCATCACGCGATGTTCCCCGCCAGATAAGTATCGATCGGCTGACAACCAGGACGGCTGTCGTCGACAAGTTCCTCATACCGTATATGTTATGAGAAGTCATCCGCCAAACAAATGTAGACCGGCTGTTCACAGTGCCTCAATGAGCGGAGGACGGGAAACACTGCTTTTGTCTTTAGGAAACAGTCTGCCGCCAAATCCTTCGTTACTGGCTGTCCACTAGGACGATTTTGTTATCGATGGATTCTTTGTGCCATACATATCACGCGAAGTTCCCAGCCAAACAGATACCGTTTGGCTGTCCATAGTGCTTCAAGGTGAATATGATTGATCGCACGGCTTGTGCCTCTCTGGATGTCCCACCGCCAGCCCTCTTATTTTTGGCTGTCTACAATGTGCACATGATGTTTTCCATGCATATGGGCTCCGAAGAGGTTCCGCCACCCAAGACATGAAACGTGTGTCTGTAAAGTATTCACGATTTCTTCCATGCAATACAATAGTAAATATTCGCTCCTTATGTACAGCCGAGCGGGTCGGCGCTGGCTGTCTTCAATACGCTTACTTCATGAAGCTCACTTCGTGGGTTTCGGCTGGGGGGAGCTACCCGCCAAACACATTTCGCGTGGCTTATCTCTGTGCTTCAGCATTTTCAAGCTTAATTGTTCATGAGCTTCAGCCAGGAAGAGTTACCCGCCAAACATTCCTTCCATGGCTGCTCTCAGTGCGTCATCGTCTTTGGGATTACTTGCTCACGAGATTCGGCCAGGAAGGGTTACCCGCCAGGTCCCTCCTGCGTGGCTGCTCTCAGTGCGTCATCGTCTTTGGGATTACTTGCTCACGAGATTCGGCCAGGAAGGGTTACCCGCCAGGTCCCTCCTGCGTGGCTGCTCTCAGTGCGTCATCGTCTTTGGGATTACTTGCTCACGAGATTCGGCCAGGAAGGGTTACCCGCCAGGTCCCTCCTGCGTGGCTGCTCTCAGTGCGTCATCGTCTTTGGGATTACTTGCTCACGAGATTCGGCCAGGAAGGGTTACCCGCCAGGTCCCTCCTGCGTGGCTGCTCTCAGTGCTGTCATCGTCTTTGGGATTACTTGCTCACGAGATTCGGCCAGGAAGGGTTACCCGCCAGGTCCCTCCTGCGTGGCTGCTCGTGCTGTGTCAATGTCGTCAAGTTTGCTTGCTCATGAGCTCTGACTGGGAAGAGTTACCCGCCAGGTCCCTCCTATGTGGCTGCTCGTGCTGTGTCAATGTCGTCAAGTTTGCTTGATCCTGAGCTCTGACTGGGAAGAGTTACCCGCCAGGTCCCTCCTGCGTGGCTGCACTTGCTGTGTCAATAGTCTAGACTTGTGTCCACGAACCTGGTATTTGAACTTTGTTATGCAGCCAAATGCCTTTGGCTTGGCTGTGAATATCCTGCCAACATTTCTCGTCCGCATATTCCATAGAGATAACAAACATTTGACAGCCCCGCCAAAGTATCATCATCCGGCTGTCTGTACTAGCTTGATACGAGTGGTACATCGAGCTCTTCTGACGCTTCAGATAGTTCGATGTATTTCACACCGCCAGGCTCGTGGGTGCTCGGCGGTACAGTAGGAGCTATCCTGCAAGAAAAAAAATGTACCATGCTAGATAACGAACAGCCATAAGTAAGAAACGAGGCGGGGCTGCAGGCAACTTGATAGCAAGAACACACTTTTCTGGGGTAAAGAGACCAGCCAAGTATGCATGATACGGCTGACCTACAACAATACCAAATCAGAAGACAGATGTTAAGTCGTAGTTATGGTTCTAACAAACAGCCAAGCATAGGTGCAACAGCGGACCATCGCAAGCCAAAAAGACCAGAGACCATGCTGTAAATATAGCGCGGCCCGCTATGCAAATATCGTGTGGCGGGTTCAGCCACATTGTGCAAGAAATGGGGAATATAAGGACTCATGACGGCCAGCCAAGATGAAGGCTTTTGTCGAGCTTGCAACGTTCGTCAAATGGTGGAAAAAATTGTAGATGCATACTAATTACAGCTAATGTTCGACTTGTTGGCGGACTCGCAACGTGTACAAATTGTAAGATAAAATAACATCTAATCATTACACTCCGCCGAGGTGAGTTTTATTGGCGGGCTTGCACGACCTGCGAGATGTGAGAGAGAAAGGCGATCGCTCTCGCATGAACTTCAAGATGTGCGAGGTATGAACAGCTGCTCTGTCTACCCAGCCAGGGTTGAGCGTATTGGCGGGTTTGCGAAGAGTGCGTGTAAACACCCAGCATTGGCATAGCTTAATACAGGCGTATTGGCGCACTCACTGAAGTCGTGGAATGCGGTAAGCAGCAGCAAGATCTACATTTGGACAGCCAGAAACTCTCAGTTTGGCGGGTGGCGGAGTTCGTGGAGATGCAAATGATGTTGGCGAAGAACCCCGAATCGCAGCCGGCTATAACTACCTCGGCGGGCTGTTGCATTTGTAAGACCGCGGCAGAAGGTACAAAGGATTACCTGATGCAGCCTAGAAGACCCGGTTTGGCGGCAATTCCTATTCAATTAAATGTCAGTATTCTCAAGAAGGGAACTTTACCATGTTACACAACCATACTGCGCCTGTCTAGGTGTACTACCGAATTGAATGGAGTGTAAGAAGAAGATGGTTTTCCATTGGAGCAGCGAGCCGAGCTGTGTTTGTTTGGCGGGTCTTGAATGGCAGTAGGAAGGAGAAGAAGGAATACACAGTGAGGCAACCAGCTTTAGCAGATCTACCTTGGCGGGATATTGGCTGACGAGTTGCGAGTTCATAAATAGGAACTACAAGGCGTTCAGCCCAAGACTACACATTTCGGCGGACCGTTAACGATGAAGAAATGAAAGCTAGATATAGATATAAGGTAGCGTCCAGCCTGGGTACGTGTCATCTGGCGGGCTGTTTGGAGTGATGACATACAAACATAGATGCGAATGTGATATAATGATCAGCCTAGCCAATTGCACTGCGGCGGATTAGTAGAAACTACAAATAACTAAGCGGATAGAATAAGAGGCTGCGGTCAGCCAGATTTGAAAAGTATGGCGGATCTTCCAATGACTTCTTACAAGAGCGAAGTTATGGGTCAAACATAATAGCTAGCTAAGATAGCACTTTGTAGCGGGCTGACTAGATACAGATGCTTGGAAAAGTGTAATCAATGTGCGTCATCAGCCAGGGGAGCATAACATGGCGGTCCGAACAAATAAATAATGTCGGAAGTAAAGACTAGGGTATGTGTAAATGTTCAAACCCGCGGGGTGAATTGTGTAGAAAGTAGCAATGAAAATTATACAAGACCAGAATATGTTATCGTGTCGAAATAGAAAGCCTCGAGCAAAGCAAATGGCTGGCACATGACCTCAATATCATTGGAAAGCGCGAACTTGCATTTCTGGCTCAGCGGCCGTGTAAGAACTCGATGGCTGGCCCACTACGCCTCAATATGATAATTGCGATATGCATAGAGTCCTATTACCAGCCATAGGCATGTATATTGGGCTGGCTTACCATGGCAGATGATCAGATACATGTAAAATGATCAGGGTGTCTTGTGTGCGGAGGTTTTGTTCACGTGCGAAGCTGCAACGTGATCCTAATGGTGTCAGGCAACTTTGCGCATGCTATCCAGCCAAGGGTAATCGACTCGGCTGTTTCCCCATACAATTAGGAAGGAGAATTAATTATACACAAGCAGGGTGAGTGCATATGCAGCCCATCTTGCGGCGCCGTTACCGCCACGAAGAAAGACTCACGGACTCACTGCTGCCCAATGATAGATTTCTGGTTTCACTCACCTCTAAGATCTCTTCCAGAGCCGATGCAGCACTTATCCTTTTACCCTTACCTGGACTCAGACCTGTTGAACAGCCGTTTACGGCTACCACGGCTGATCGCCTCACTTGGCAATTTTCCAAGAGGAGCTGTCCCTAAGAAGTACGAAGCTCCAGTTTCGCCATCCTTGATTACGGAGGCTGTCCGACGTAGAATTACCAACATTACCCATGCAACTATCATTGACCATTCATACACTCATGCCAGCCATAGCTTTAGGTTTTTGGCGGCTTCGAATATTGTATAGTGAAGCATTTCAACAACTTCGAATCACAGGAACCGCCATGTATGAATGTACTGGCTGGCTTTCAATTTTCTATTGAATAACCAAGTATAGAACAAATACAAAAAGGAAGGCTGTTATAGTGGCTTTACGTCTGGATGCACCGCAAAGGCTTCTCGAGGTGGCTGACCAGTAGCCTGCGAGTGGAAGAGGCGCACAAGGTAGAAGAAAAACGCAATGATTGGCATGTGAGCTACACAAGTCAAGCACCGCCAAGCGTCGTCACAATGGCGGATCAACAATCTACAAGATTGACACAAAAACAAAGAGGTGGAAAAGTCTTTGAGCCCCGAAGCCTCATGTTCATACCTGATTACCGCCAGGAACTCCGGGACTGGCTGGCCATCGCTCCCCGAAAAGATTTCGATCGCTACCCTGCACGAAGTCGTCGAAATTCCGCAAAGAATCCGTGGAGAGTGGTGGCCGCCACATACTACGAGACTGGCTGGTCATCGCCCCCAGAAAAGAATCTGGTTATCGCTTGCATGAACTGGTCAGGTATTGAGAAGAGTCCATGGAGAGTGAGAACCGCCATGTCTCAGGAAATTGGCTGGTCATCGCGCCCCGACAAGAATGCGATGATCACTTGGATGAAGTGGTCAGAATCCTGAAGAGAATCCATAGAGAGCGAGGTCCGCCAGGTCAAACGAGACTGGCTGGCTATCGCATCTTAGGAGGAAACCGGTGGACACCTGCGCGAAGTGGTTGGGGTCCTGCAGAGAATCTATGGAGAGCGAGGTCCGCCAGGTCAAACGAGACTGGCTGGTCATCGCGCCTTGGAAGGAATCCGGTGGGCACCTGCGCGAAGTGATTGGGGTCCCGCAGAGAATCTATGGAGAGTGAACCCGCCAGGTTGTAGGACATTGGCTGGCTAGGATTGAATGTTGGAACACTATATCAAATCAAACGGAATATGCAGCGGACCATAGTGAACCTACCTTTGAGAGATACCGCCAGATGTCGTATAGTTTGGCTGGTCTATGGCACATCGACAAATGCTCCCTTGAGTTACGTAGAAGATGCTGCAGCTCCAATGAAGCTCGCAATAACGAAACCCGCCAAATTCAATGGTAATGGCTGAACAACCTGAGTTCGATAGCCAGCTGTGGCAAGTGACATGGAAGACGTAACGTGTGGTGATAAAGTCGAAATTATCAGGCACCGCCTGCGCGTCCTGGAGTGGCGGGTCAGTCATGTCTCGTGAAGAGTACACAGCACTTGAGTAGAAGAGGTAGTGACAAGTAGCGAAGTTGCAGAATCTGCGTACAGCCAGCAGCGTAAAGAGTGGCGGGTTAGCAAAGTTACTCATAGATGTTGCAGCACTTGAGTAGAAGAGGTAGTGACAAGTAGCGAAGTTGCAGAATCTGCGTACAGCCAGCAGCGTAAAGAGTGGCGGGTTAGCAAAGCTACTCATGGATGCTACAATATTATGATGGAAAACAAGGCTGTGGAAAATGAAGTATTCAAGCGTACGTACAGCCCGCATTCAGGAAAGTGGCGGGCTGATGAGGGTTCTCGAGGACGTTGCAGCGCTTTTGCTCGGAAGAGGTGGAAACAAATAAAGATTACCTGAAGATCACGTACAGCCTGCTTCTCATAAAATGGCTGGTCAGCAAAACTTACGGGAAAGTTTACTTTGTGCCATGTGAAGATGAAGCCGTGTGCAGTAAATCCACGGAGATGAGGGACAGCCAAGGGATGTACGACTGGCGGATCATTCAGCCATCTCAAGAGTAAGAATATTTCCACAGAAGAGGCCACAGGTTGGGGTGAGGTCGTGAATCATGGGACACAGCCAAGTCAGGCGAGTCTGGCTGCTCTGCAAGGCTTACGTGTCCGAGTCTACCGAGTTAGCTGCCATAGGCTGAATAGTAGATTGGGTATGATCTGGTTCAGAAGTGTTGTGTGTACCAACCAATACTTTAGAGAATCTATGAGAATCGTGTACCGCCAAAACAATAGTGGCCGGCGGGCTTGCATACTGTGCGATAGAACAGATAAAAGTATCAAGATATTCGACCCGGATCTTGAGGGTATATCCATATGATAAGAGACCGCCATACCGATTGAGTCGGGCGGGGTAAGACTGCGATGCTGGAAGCTTACGAGAGAATTTAATGGCTCAGACTAGAGAATGCCAACATCCGCACAGCCAATTTGACAATGCATGGCTGAGCAACACCAGAGCGGCTAGTTATGGCTGCACAGTGAGTGATCTAGAGGAATATACAGGAACTGACATGTTTCCAGGTGCAGCCAGGATGACGTCTCGTGGCTGGTCTGAGGACCTGTCATAATCGCTGAGACGTGTTGAGCTGGCTGTATATGTAAGCATCATTTATGCAGTTCAGATGTGTAATGCTTGATTCGCCATTTGTAGAAGAGATGTGAGACCATTTTATTCAGATCACCACTACATGTCTACCATGTACATCTCAGCGTCAATCTCGTTGACTCGTTTGACCAAGTTGTCCATTTCCGTCTGAAGCGCAGCCTTCTTGTCTTCCGCATCCATCACCACTCTCATCGTTTCAATCAGTGACAATTTCAAGCGCTTCTCCTCCTGCACCGCCTCGTCACGAAACTTCATTTCCATCTTCTCGCGCTCAGCTACAACAGCGATCCTTATCTGATATTTCATGCAGGCCACTTGATGTGTTAGGAGTGTGGTCTCGCTCCCAAAGGTGTCGTCGCAGCCTTCACAAGTGCACACGTCCTGCCAGAATACAGATGGCTCGATTTCAGACGGCACATGAGCGCCCTTCCGAAGCACATGCCCACTCGTCTGCTGATTCTTGTCGTCAACCGGTAGCATGAGTTGAGGAAGTCGTTGGTATAGGACGTAATAAACCACACCTCCTTTGTTTATAGCGACTTGTGGATGTTCTGCAGTGGCAATGTCTGGACCTAGGTCATCGAATGACCGCCAAACGTCGTTCTTCCGGATGTAAGTGACATAGTGTCCACCCCTTCCCTGAGGATAGAATATGTTCACGGCGAAGAGCTGATAGATTGGACGGATACCCAAACGTACTGGTTGGCCAGGGTCAGATGGGAGCCCTGCAAGATCGGCGATAGACGACATGTCTAGGAATGTAGGGACATCGACACCGCATAACACCCGATCACTGATCCCGCCCCGTTGAAAGCGTATGAATATATATTCTGAACAGAGGGTGATTCGCCTGTGCTGGACACGAGAGCCTGCATGGGCGCGACAACCAGACACGCAGTGGATGCTAGAATCGACTTCGGTCTTGAGCCAATTCTTCATCATTCCAGACAACGAATTCAGGTCTGAATTTGGATCTTGGAAGTCGAGCAGCATTTGGTGATCACAAGTGAACATCCTAGATATCAGAGCACAGCCAGGTTCTTGGCACTGACTCTCCATGACTGATTGGAGGCAGAAGGCATTGTGCACTTCGGATTCATAGCCTTGTCGCATGAAATCTATGTGTTCAGATACGGCAGCCTCTGCTAGGCCTGGAAGCTTGGCGGCGCATGCAATGGCATCTGACGACAGATGTGAGATCGACTGAGCAGTAGACGACGATCCAGTGCAGTCGGAATTTGGGCACTTTTGGTCGTGTTCATCGAGGTAGTGCTCAAGACATCTGCGGCAATAATTGAAACCACAGCAACTGACCTTGACGCGGTCATCGAAGTATTTTCCATCAAGCTCACAGAGAAGACCTCGCTCTCGTATCTCTTTCTTCTTGCTCTCATCACTGAGTTGTCGGTAAGTGATATCTGATGCGTCTGTAATCATAACTAGACACATGATCACAAAACTCATGAGCTCAGCAGAGTCATTCTGCTGACCAAGTACCCATTCTGATGGGTGCAGTGAGGAGAGGGCATTAAAGAAGCGCCGGATATCGTCTGTCCTCATTGCCTGCGATGCATCACCTAGCTTTGAGAAAAGTGCTCGAAGTTTGGACAAGAATTCTTGCACATTCTGCATATGCGACGATGAAATGCTTGCAATGTCCGCTCCTCGGCTCTGTGGAATGGAAGGCAACCAAGCGCGCGTGTCGCGGCCAGAATCGCCATGGCCTTTTCCTAGCTCCTTGCTTGCATCCATGATCAGGTTACGCATAGAGTCGATTGCGTAAACGCATTGGATCGAGGACGACATCCAGCACGTATTCCCAATATTCTTCAGATTCAAGAACATGTGAGACGGCCTCGACTCGCCTTCACATTCCTTGCATGGCCAAGCCACGGTATCTGTAGGCATGCGATCTAGACCGAGACAGTGATAATGCGTCAACCTCTCCGTATGACCTTTTGTTGTGCACGCCAAAAGTGTGCTCTTGTCTCCTATTTCGCCGCACTCATGGCATTCGACGGGGTCCTCCGGTGCCGCAGTCTTCATGGCGGATAGCCCCGCTAGCTGCTCTGCTAAGAAGAGCTGTTCGTCGTCTAAAAAGAAGGCGTCTTCGTCATCAGTCGCATCTCCGTCGTCTGGCTGTTGCGTGGTGCGTCTTGGATCCAGTGATCTAATCCTAGCCGCCCATGCATCCCTTCTCTTGTACGAGTCGGGCAGAGGTACTGCCATATAATCTTCAATACTTGACTTCATTTGCTTGTACCATTTGGTAGGCTCGATGCTGGACACTGCTTTCTTCAGTACTGGGATGAGAGCAGGTCCGCCACCGAATCGGTAGCGGAACCGGTTCGTTGGCCAGCATTCTATGATCAATGTGCGCCGCGTTATATCATAGTCCTTCTTCATGCTCGTCGGTAGTAGGACCTTGCATCCTGTCTTCAAATGATCTCCAGGGTGGATGGTCTTGTCTCCCCCGTCATTTAACTTCCGCGTAACACCGCGCCCGAACGAGTATGTGGAAGTGTGTCCACGACATGGGGTCATGACAAAACCGAACAGATGATCCTTACCGCCATTCTCGAGAAATTGAACAGCACACTCCAACAATAATGTAGCGGGCGACTCTTCTGTGGCATGATGTGAATCACAGAGCGTCGACATGGTGTGCAGCCGACTGCTGAATTCTCTGAAGAACCATGCTTCATCGATATCGTTTGGGCAATGATCTATACGCCAGAACCACGGAAGCTTGTTTTTACCAAGCCGAGGGAACTTCAGGCCATGTTGGTTGAAGCCGCCTTGACTGCGGTCGTTCTCGAGTTCGTTGATAAGCCTTTGTATCAAGATCCAATCCCAGTACTCATCGTTCATGGCAAACTTGTGGGTGCCATCCGTATTCTTCAGGAATTTAGGGTTGTCTGCTCGCGTGCTGAAGATCCTTTTGAGCGCTCTCGTCGAGAAAGAATCTGGGAGAGTTCCATCCCAAACGCCGGATCTTTCCATCTCTATAGCACGTCGTATGACATCCGGCGTCTGGTCCAAAACACGATCTTTGTTTCGCTGAGGTACAAATAGGGTGATAAACCGCTGATTGTCGTATGCCTGAGATCAAATTAGCCGGCATGTTGATGGAAGACATGACAGTAACATACACGCTCAATTATCGCCCATGTTTTGCGAACTTCAGGGTAGTACCCCACGCAGGGCGGTCGCCCAGCTACACGCTCAGAGAGTTCTAGTGCCTCTTTGTACAGTGGTAGTGACGACACGGGGTCTTTCGACTTCAGAAGGTTAATCGAAAACAGCTCCAGCGTGATATTTTCAACATCGTGCAGCGAGACTTTGAGGTCTGAGCGAAGCCATCGCCCATGTGGCTTCTCGATGCTCAGAGAGTAAGGCTCGGAGCCCAGCCAAGCAGATCTGTTTGTTCCCAAAAGCAGACCTGATCTAACCTTCAGCGACACGTTATGGCTCGGTGCGTAACCTCTGGTCCACGAGTACGGGTCATCCGTTGAGTGATTGTTGCGAAGAACATTGGACAACTCTTCAATTGTCCAAATTGGCGCAGATCCCAGGAAACGCCTTTCATTTCTGTAAAGCGTAGTGACGTTGACTTTGAGCTGTGCAAGTAGATCGAGGCTGGCATGAGATTTTTTGAGCTCGCCCGCATTGACTCCGGCACATCCAGCGCACGTAACAAGCAAACCGTCTTGATCAATTCGCCGCACCATGTCCGCGCAGGTCCAATTGGCTTTGCAAACGATGCAGACATGCTCTGTGCATTGCTGAGCGTCCGGAGACTCGCACATACAGTAATTGGCGAGAATTTGCTTCCTTGTAAGAAGACCGAGCTCGATTCTGTCGATGGCAACATGTACCAGAAGTAGAGTGTTAAGGAGTGTCTCACCTCTGGCCAGTGCACGTAGGCATTCTTCAAACACCCATGCATGACAAACCTGATCATGTACAAGGGTCGTTGCGCCAAACTTAACCCCCAGCATGGTGAAATTCCATTCGCCTGAAGAGTCCTTGAAGTCCGGTCCAAATCCATCGAGATCCAGATCAACCAGAGCGGCTTTGCAGATGAAAAACTCGAACCGACTGCCACGTTTCCGCAGGCTGAGTATTTGCTTTCCATCGTATGGTCCTTCGTACGTGCCCCTCGCCACGGTTCTCTTGCGTACTACGTCGCTGATTCCTTTAGAAGACTTCAGCAGACTTCTGCTCCTGTTCTGGAAGTAGTTGGCCAGCGCTCTACTGCTGCCAACCATTCCAACCATGTCGTGAAGTAAAATCTGCATAGCTTTGATGCTTACCCGCTCTTCCTCGTTCTTAAGTTTCACATATCGCATGGTTCGAAGCTCATCCGGTGCTCCTTCCACTGGCTCAGCACCAAATAGGTGCCAGCCTGTCGAATATGGCATAGAGCTCACGACTGATGCATCGACATCACTGCCACGAAGCTGGGGATGACGTCGCACCATCATCCGTGGGGTGGATGTAAGGGGGAGCAAGCCTGCATTCCCAGAGAATTGCAAGAGAAGGTGGTGTTAGCCGGTGAAGGAATCCATGGCGAGCAGCCTTTGAGCCCGCTGCTACTCCAAAGATCGTGCACCGGGGGATAGAGTCGCGAGATCGAGCTGTGGATAATTGTGGTCTTTCCCAATGCATCAAACTCGTGACGATGATGAAGCTCCTTGCAAGTGGAGCTCCTTGGTTTGCGTACCACTGATCGATTTCGAGGTCCATGGGGACCCTGTTCATAATGTTGACCGTGATCTCCCCGAGTTTCAAAATCTGGTCACGATCTTTGCATACGCTGTCGGTGAGCATGTTCCACCTCGGCAGGTTCGCATGCTTTTTGGCGTAGGCTACCTTTCTGGCCAAATTACCCTTTGTTTGCTTCGCAATGCGCTTGTCCATCTCTTTCTTGCATTTGTCGCCCCTGCCGGCATCGACACAGGTGCCGCAGGGATGCATCCTGTCGCAAGTAGCTTGCAAGCCGTCTTTTGTGCAATTGGGGCAGGTTGTTACGACTGGTCTCGAGTTTCGAAAGATTTTGATGTTCCTGATGTGGATTTGATACAACTCGATCGGCTTGTTCGGTTCTGCGCCATGAATGTTCGTGGCGGTCATTTGCCTAGAAAATTCACGTCCTGAATCAGCGCATGTCTCAGAAGAACACATTGCCTGAGAAATCTTACCAGCATCGAGCAGTCGTACCATCGGGCTGCGTGCAATCGACAAGAGCGACAGATTCCGTATCAAGTTGGTACAACCGCATGTCCGCATCATAGAGTGGTAGTTCCAGCACATGGCGTGCCTCACTGGTGGGTGGTGTGTACTTGCGAATTGTATTGACGGTCAGACCAGTGTCCTGAACTAGCTTTAAGAACCGAGTCGTGTTCACGGTAGTGTGATCAATCGTGATGCCCAGGTCTTCCAAGTCGAGAGTGAGACCAGGAATTTCTAGACCAAGATGTTTGAGGTCGGGGAGTTCGACAGGTACATTGAAATTCTTCCGCCTGCCGGTTGTATCCTTGACCGCTTTTGACTTCTTGTCTAGTCGTGGCCTTGCGGCAGTTGGCGGCTCTTTTCTCTTTGACCCAGCAGTCGGCTTTGCTTGAGGCGTGCCACTTGCTTTTGCCTGGAAATTCGATTTGGGTCGCGCCATGCCCGCGGTATGTAATGGCAAAAAGCCGTACAAAGCTTGAGGCGCGGAGCGTGGAGTGTGAACGAGAATGTCCTGGCGGCGGAGGGCTGGAGATACTGAGTGAGCGTTTGCTCGAGCCGTTGGCTGCTAGCGCCTACTACATCTGTGCCGCTGCAGACCCACATAAGCTGCCAGTAGCACCTATAGATTTTCATGTGCTTAGCCAGGAGCAGTGTGGACAGATTCTATCATCGACTTTGTTGTTTGTCACGTGACCGCTAGAGCTCGCATCGCCCAAGTCAACACCGCAGAGCAAAC